TTCTGATTGGCTCAGTGACCTGTTCTTACTAGAGCTCAAGAGAGAAGCCTGAGAGAGGAGATGTAAAACTACACTGAGATGGTTTTTTTTCTTAAAACCACAAATGTATCAAGTGTAAAATTTACATCTTTTAATAAAACTTCCTGAACGTCAATCAGTTTGGTTTCTTACTGAATGTATTTGTCCATTTTAAATCTAAACTTTTCATATGCTCATTAGAAAGTCCCGCGGTCGGATCAACAGTGCCTTCCTGCTGACTGATAAAACCCTGGAGTTTATCGGCATCCCTCCCACCCTGGCAGCACCAGTCAACCCTGACACCCCTCCATGGCTCATTGTGTTTGGGGTGGTCATGGGTCTTGTGGGTGCTGGCATCATTATTCTACTTGTGTCCTCTCTGGTCAAGAAACGGTAGGCCGGTGACTTCAGATCCATTATTGTGATCATCTTTTAAATGTGACTATTGATGTGTGGTGTTTCTGGCTTCATATTCCAGCAAACAGGAGAGGAAAACCGGCGACGATGACATCGAAGAAGAAACACGGGTGAAACCGGTGGAAAATGGCGGCACAAATGAGGGTGTTTACAACATGTCATTCTCAGATGATGAGCGATTAACGCAGATGTAAAACAAAAAATCTTCCATGTAAACAATAAGATGGGGAAAAAGTTATTGATGCTGCTGTTGTTGCACTGTAAAATCTGATCTTTTTGAAGATTATAGATTTATAGTTTTGTGATTATAGATGTTTCTCATTTAAATGATTCAAATTTTTAAAAAATCTATATATTTGTACTCTGTCATAGAAAGAAACAAGCACGTGCACAGTGTTTTCATTTTCCACATTAATGTAAACTTTTTGTGTCGATGGATCAAACATCTGTTTGTGAATATTTTGCAGTAGTCTATCTGTGTGATCTGCTCTTTGAAAAGAAACTAACTCTTCTATACTGATCATATATCACCATGTACCATATACTTATTTTTTTGGCAAACAGAATGAGATGGAAACAAGAAATGAAACTGGTCCCATTTAAGATTTTAAGACAGATGCTAATCATGTGTGTGTAATGCTGGAATTTATGAAAAAAAATGAAATCTTGATATTTGTAAGACATTATACGATACACAGTATATATGTATATCTAGATGTATATCTATATTTTTCTAATTGAATAATTGAATAGTTGCTTATTATATTTAACCACATTTTTTGCTAAATGTACTTGATCCTTTTGCTTTATATTTTTTTGTCATCATCTGTCTTTTAGCAGACTAGAGTGACAGTGAACCCCCCCTGAACTTAGTGATGGGTTTAGCTGCAGTATTTCAAGCAGTGCTCATTATCACCATGGTTGGCAAAAATGTTACTAGACACAATTTACATATTGTCATGACAGTCAGAGCAGAGCAGCATCCTTTGTACTTCGTGTCCTCAGTGTGTTGGTTAAAATCGAGTCCCTGACATGTGCTGTGGTTTGAAAGTGAAAGGCCTCTGTACTACGCTGCAGTAAAACAAACAACTTCACTTCTCACTTCTAGGCCACTGAACACGCTCAGAAACACGATGTCTTTCATTGTTCCAGATGAAAGCCTGATTTAGTGGTAACCTGTGGAAGACTTTCATAGTGTGTCGACATGCTCACATGATCTGTGTTCAGCAACTAAAAGTTTGTCAGTTTCAAACTTGACTTTACTGCCTCCAGCTGGACACTTTGGGTAAAGGAATAGGTTCATTATCTTTTTCTTTTTTTCTGCATTGAACTGTAATTTTTTTTCCCCCAGATACTAAAATGATTCACTTGCATATGTTCACACATGGAAAAACTCACATCTTGTGAATCATTATCTATGGATACTGGATGTTTCAGTAAAAACAAACTGCCTGTGTCTGTGTATGCATTAGTCCAGTGGTACAATCATTTTGGTTTGTGATCCCAGAGAACATCATCATTGACCATGTCTCCTGGTCGTGTCCAACTCTAAACAAAGCTCAGGCTTTTAGAGAGCTGAACAGGTATTACCCAGAAACTCATAAGAAAAAAGGGCATGTTTTTTTCCCGCTCTCTGATCTTGTGATATCTGAGATATATTTTGCAACTCCTCTGATTTGAACCACTAATGCAGCAAGAAACTAGTTGCGACAGGAATGTCTATTTAGGGACCGTACAAACATTTTTGTGAAAGGAGGGAGATTTTTTTTAAAAATCTAACCAAGGATGAGGAAAAGTTAACTGAAACTCTTCCAACAAAGTACCTTTAGCAAGTACAAACAAGACTCTGGACCATGTGTGGTCAATATGCAAAGGATTGTATTGAAAACTGCTGTGGAACCTGTAAACAAATACTTTCAATGGAAAGTAGCTAAAGCTGCCTGAAAAGTCTATAAATGAGGCTATACACTAATTAGCATATTCATGATGTCATCGATTCAAATTGTCATCCAGCTTAGTGTCAGCTGGTTTCTGTTCTTTATGATGACAATGAAACAAGGTTTGAAACAGTGACTGAAAATGGCTCATTAAGACTACATGTTAACCAGAAGTCACTTCAAGCTGCTGCTAAAATCCTGATTTTATAACCATGACATCACCATCACCAAACACATCAGTTAAAGACTCTATTCGCTCGACATGCAAAATAAGGTAGAAGTTTGTCTGGAAAGTAGGTTTTCTGAAAAAAAAGAAAAAGAAAAAAAATGTAGCAAAAGACATCTGAGAAGTCTTTGTAAAAATGTAAATCTTGTGACAAATCCACAAAGTTGGCAGCACTGCCTGTGAACAGCCCTGGTGACATGATAGAAATAGTTTGCACCAATTCATGTTGGATGAGCAGTGGCCAATGGGGAAACTTCAACACTCATCTGACTGACAAATGGTGTAACTTCATCACTCACTCACTCAGTCAGTCAGTGACATTGGCCCTGCTGTACTGATCCAGCCAAAAATACACAACCCTTTCCCGACTTCCAATCCTCCTCTCATAATGTTCATAATGTCCCTTCATGTCTCCTCTGAAGCTCCATACAAAGAGGTTTACATGGATATGAGCCATAAACTGTGACAGTCTCCTGAGGCCAGCATCTTCACAAATGATGGTTCTTGAAAATCAAAATGAGTCAGATTTGTTTTATGAATTTATAGCAGCCACAGTCTTTTGTTTTGACTAAACCACTCTTCATTGTTTCTTTAAATATATTCCTCTCCAGCTGTTGTGATCACACAATAAATACACGGCTGAAGCTGCGGCACAGATGCAATCCACATATTTACCTTTAGATGGCACCATTACACTGCCAGTTGCCGTGGTTACAAACTGGCCTGGACAGACACTGTTGTCCCCTATCTCTCAGTCCTCTTCTTGGCACTCTTTAAAAAGAGTGTGTGAACATTTGAATTTCAAACATATTTTAATTTACTGTTATTTTATTTTGGTCTGACTATTTTTGAAGTGATAACAGAGAGTCCTTCACATTCCACAGTCTATATTTAGTTCATTGTTAAATTAAATCTGCTCCTGATCTCTTGGTGAGGATATGTCTTCTGTAACATTTGCACAATATTTCAGCAGCAGTTAGCATTATGCTGGAGATTATTCACCGTGTGGTGATGACTAGTTATCATTTGGCTCTTCGTCTAATATCCCACTCCTCTTCCTCTGCATTGCATTATCTTGCCTGAGGAGTCCAGTCTTTTTTACACCTCATTTTTCTTGTTGTTGAATCAAAGATTTGCTGTCACATCAGTTTGTGACATCACAATCTTATAATAACGTCTGTCGATTAAGACCTAACACTCCCATTACAGAGGAAGAAAGAAAGTGGGAATAACTGCAGAAAGTCAAATACATTTGATCATATAATTGAAAAATAATGTCATTATTTTAATAACTTAGCCTGATACCTTCTGAAAAATAAATGAGTTTTGAAATAGCTATAGAAATGAGTCACTGTTAAATGGCAGATTGCTTAAATAACATTACACAATCTTAAAGTAAATGACTGTTTTTCTGTTGCCTCTGTGTTCTGGGCTCATCACAGGAACAATGCCTGTGTGTACCGCGCTGCATAATGGCTTCTGCCTAATTTTGTCTCTTCAAAAGGTGAGAGATAAATAAGCCTTTGGAAATAACTGATGAGCAAACACAATGGTGAATTATAAATAATCTTGGATCTGTGGATGAAATTACGGGGAACATAAGCTTACATTGTATGTTGTAAGATTATGTCTGCAACAGTTTAATGACTACAGATTTGACGCTCAATTTCCAGCAAATACCCCCATCCCAAAAACATTTCCACTCTTGAGCAAAAACCACTGAAGTCAAGGTTGATAAGTATCTACATATGGACATTATTCACTGTACTTTCACCACAGGACACAAGTCTTTAACAGTGACAATCTAATCATTTCAAACTGTGTGCAAATTGCATAGTGAGCAGATACTGCTACTGTAATGGTGACTACTTCCTGGAGCTGTACAGAGCAACACAATATAAATGTGTACAGTTAGACTGATTGGAGAGGCTCTGTGGACACGTGTCAGTGTAGTTAAAACTCTCCAAATCAGATGTAAATGTTGCATTCAAATTCCAAGGATTCCTAGTGAGTGTGCCCCTATTAAACTATCAATATTAAATATCACAATTCCAGTCAATATTTCATGAGGCCTATTTTCTAACAATGCAGCTTTCAGGGCTCGGAATCAATATTTAAAAAAAAAAGGTAAATTTTTCATAACTTTAGCTTTGAAAGCCCGAGTGCATTATTAATATCACTTACAAGAGTGTGAAAAGGGACAGATTCCATATGCATTTTCTAAACATAGTGGATGTGAAAACTATACGCTGTGCACTGATTCCAACACAAATCTTCACTATACCGCCAGCCTCGTGGCAGAGGGGGTGGGACGAGAAGATTCCTGACAGCGGCCGTGTATTTGCCCCCCCCTGCTGTGTTTAAAATCCATCACTGTCAAGAGAGTCCCCCTCTATATCAAACTAGAAATCCCATCTCTTCTGTTCTTTGTCTTTGTCCTCTGTTTGTTTATGAGTCTCAGAGAGAGCAGCCTCTGCTGTCTCACCTGCCTCAGCTGCTTGTGTCTCCCCTCCCTCTCCTCCCTTCTCCTTCTCCCTCTCTTGAATGATCTCCACCAGCCTCTGAAATTTCTGGTTTAACTCCTCCATCCCTCCCACCACTCTGGCACTGTCCTTCTCTCCATCGCTCTCCAGTGAGCTCAGTGACTCAGCCCTTGAATCACGGCCCTCAAACTCATAAGTCTGCAGTGAGTCATAGGGCGGCTGCGACAGGTCAAAGGTGACCTGATCCAGACGGAAATTCAGGAGGTCCTCCATCCGGAGGGGCTGCGTTTTGGCCGCTTCTGTTCTTGCGGGCTCCGCCCCCAATGGCCAGCCTCTATTGCTGCCAAACATCCCCCCCGGTAAGGGCAAAGGCTGTGGGGTCAAATCCTTTTTCTGGAGTCTGCAAATGTTCAGTAGCTGCACCCCCGCTGGGTACAACCCGCTGCTACTAGTCCCGTTCATACACGTCCCTCTGCTGTTTGGGTTCAGCGAGCCCACGATGCTGTACGTGTCTCCCTTCAGGTAAACAGGAGGGTTTACAGAACTGGTCTGACTACCATTTGAATAATTTCTCTCTGAAACGGAGGGAATGGAGGAATCAGTATCAATGTCATCTACTGTGCAGCTGGTGGCTCCCGTGCTGATCTGAGTCTGCGATGACCCCGGTTGCCCCTCTTGCTGGTTTGATGAGGAGCTGGTGTGACTTTGGCATGAAGACTCATTTGGGTCACAGAAGGTCAGACTCTCAGTGTTGCTGGCTGGTGCTGGCTCTGCTTCTGTTGGGTTTGTCTGTGAAAGGAGAAGAGAGAGAGAGTTCACAAAGACGTGCAGGGATAAAGGTATGGAAGAAAAAAAATGCCAAAATTATTTAAATGTTTTTAGCAACTGAAAAAATTGCTAATCACTACTGAATACTGAATTTGAACACCTCTGAATTAACTGCATTGGAATTTTTTTCTGAATTCACATAGTTTTGCCTTAGAGCTTTATTTTTTGGAGGAGATGACAAATTCAGATACATAATTCAAATGCTTTTCCAGTCGCTCATCTAATCTGATTGGAAGGAGTTCTGATTGTGACTCAACTTCATGTCCTTGGTAGAATATAGGATAATAGGATATTTAAGATTTCAAAAATGCTTTTGTTTTATTTTGAACTTTTAGAAAAATATATAGACAAATACACTATCCATACATGGTCAGATATGCTGAATCTTTGATGTCCACAGCTGCCTGATGGAAAGGATTTGAGGTCTGCTCGTACTGAACATTTATTTTTATGCTGATGTCTCAGCCATTTTAGCTTCATGCAAGAATGAGTCCTTCAGATTCTGTGACTGGAACAGTGATGTTTTGATTTGGAGTGATTTTTACAAAGTTATTATTTTTATTATTGTATTATATTTATATAGAATATTTTTTCACATTTTTATCATAAATATTTTATTGTTGAATTTTTCTTTTTATATTGAAGCTATCTAACCTGCAGTACTTAACTCGCTTTGCTTTATTTTTCTTTATATTTTTTCTTCTTCTATGTTTACTGTTATGAAGCAAATTCCTCATATGTGAAAACCTACTTAGCAATAAATGGTTCTGACTCTGATCCCGATCCATACCGTATTTACTGTATAGATTTGAGGGTTGTATGTTGTTGCCTAGATACCTGAACTCCATCAATGTGGCATCACTGCTGTCTTTACATCAATGACCGCAGTGGAAATAAGTCTCGGATATTATTTGTAGATCTGTAGTCTGTACGCAATGAGGATACTAAAGGAGGATGATTTAAAAGGTAGTTCAGATAAATTGTAAGTACAGCTGCAGCTGCATTAATCAACACACAGGGCTTAGTTGCATCCCAGCTGCTTCCTGACGTACTGAATAAAAGGAGCCAAATTTTTCACAAATTTAGATTTTGACCAAATTTTAAGCAGACGACTTTTTAGATCTGGACTGAATAATTACATCTGGACTTGAACATAGCTTTTTGATAATTGGGACACTCGAGCTTTCTATCTAACTTTGTGAAATCGTAAAAATACAATAATATTTGAAATCAAGTTTTTGACATAAAAAACTGAAAAAATTCAAGCCACTTAAATTAACACAGAGAGAAAGAGAGAAAGTAAAATCTTTCAACATGAAGTGTTTGGTTGTGATTCAGTTTCACAGTTAGGGATCTACTTGCTTGTAAGATTGTTTATACAGTAAGATCCTCACAGCCTTTCTTTGCCTCCATAAAATTGCTACATGTCTTTATTTGTTGGCATCACCACTGGTTTCTGACCTTGGCCTGATCCTGATTCTCTTTGGTGTCCGCTGGGTTTACATCGCTGCCTTCATTTCTGTTGGTAGTTTCACTCTTCGCCAGCATGGGCTCAGCTTCGTAACTATAAGGGCTCATCTCAGGAGAGTGCAGCAGAGGCTCAAAGGTGCTCTGGTTCTGGATGACGAGGGAGCTGCCAATATGACCTCCAGTGAGTCCATGGGTCAGCTGCGTGAGCTGCAGACCCGCCTCCAGTGGCCCAGCTGGATAATCTCTAAGAACAGGCAGTGTGTGGATGCCGTAGCAGAGGCGTCCGTAGAGCGGAGCGGAGCCTGGCCGCTGCTGAGGGTCGAGGCCGGGGCGCGGGTTACGGCTCCAGCTGTACGTCCTGGCCCTTGGCGGATTCTGCTGGGTGTACCATCTGTGCCAAGAGATAAATGTCAGAAAAGCACACAGTCACACACAAACACGCACAAGCTCCCATAAGCCACCATGGCCAGGAACTTCTCTTTTAATTTCTGGGCACAGCTCACATGTTCCTGTTGTGCATGTGCTGTATTCTGTGCATGCTCTGCAGCGCTGTAATGTCAAAAGCGGCGGTGTCTGCTTCCCCTCCCCCCTCATCATCATAGGATATGATGTTTTCCCTGACATCATCCTCCTCGAAGGGTGAGTGGGAGTCTCGCTTCTGATGGCGCAATGACAGCGAGAGTGCACACACCACTAAAGGGCAAAAAAGAGACACATGACCACATACTCTTTAGACATTACAGAAGCAACCTGACACAACCGTTCAGCGTCTCTCAAAAAGCCACAAACAACATATTTTTAGTCTTTCAGAGGCTTCGGAGAACCGGCCAAACCTACCCAGCAGCGTGGTGACACACGCCAGCATGGCCAGTAAGGTGACCAAACTGAATATGAGAGACGGAGAGGTGGACGGCATGGGCAGACAAACCATGTGTCTTTCCCACCTCCTGTCCCTCTGCTTCCCTCTATCCTCCGTCTGCATGCCTCCTCGCAGACAGGGACAAATGGTCACGGTGACCGTGCCAGTGTTGGTCAGACCCGAGGCCCCGTCACGTAGCACAACTGGCACGTAGAGGGTGAGTAAGGATGAGGAGAAGCCAGGGAGGGGCTCCAAGGCAGACTGGAGCACCAGGCTGGCTGTCACACCTAACACCGTGGCAAGAAACACACATCAGACACGGTCACGCCACAACAAACATGCACCAGTTTTGCTTGGTGTCATGTATTAAATGTCAAAGCGCTGCTACCTCCGGTTTCCCTGATAGTGAGGTTGAGTGCAGAGCTGGACTCCGGAGGGATGCTGAAGTGGACCGGGGTGTCCTGCCCTCCCTGGTCCCGGTCAATGGCTCGCAGAACCTGAACTACCTGCAGAACACAGAACAGGAAGTTGTTTTAATGGTCCTCAAGATACATCTCAGGGTTTGTGATGAATTACAGATATTTTTTAACTTGTCTCTCTATTTGACTTTTTTGGAGCATATAAAAATGAAAGGTAGAACTGGTAGAACTGCAACATGTGACGAGACAAAGTTGGCATAAACGCATCTACTTGAACCTTATAACCCTTCAGATTTGGATGAAATCAAACGCTGTTGTGGTATTTTTTCTGTGACAATGATTCAAAGCATTGTCATGTAATGATTACCTCTGTATAGCAGCTGTCACTGTCAGGGATGGAGACCACTTCAGTGGATTTACAGGGAACAATAAATGGTTTAAACCAGCGTTAGTTTTTAATTTCACTGTTTATGGTTCACTCTCCTAATACTGGATCACAGCTGTATTTAATTGCTGCTAATGCAAACCCAACATTTCCTAGTGCTGCTGCTGCTTCACAATAAAAGCATTCAGCCTGGTAAAACACAGCGTGGCGTTCACTGTGAGGGGGTCACAGGAAACGCCATGTATTTGTCACTGAAGTTGGCACTGACTGTTTGTTTATCAGAAGAGCAAACGGTCATTTTTGCCTTCGGATTAGTCTTTAGTTTTGCAGAGAGTAAAAGAAGCAGTACAATTAGAACATGGTTGTAATTATTTCTTTCTGACTTCTTTGTTAAGACAATGTGAGTTTGTTTGGCTGCACTGTCGCAGCTTATGACTGTTTAAAGTGATGTTAAATCGCACTTGCTGTTACCGAGGTGACCAAATCAGCCAGGACTGAAGTCTTAAGGATAAGTGTAACATGAATAGTAGTGACTAGTTTATTTCAGTTCAGTTATTTTGAAGACTCCTAACAGTATGTTATTAATATCCACCATGACTGATTATATTAGCTTTCTATTCTATAGCTGAGTAAATAAACAGGAGGTAACTTTGCCTCCACTTCACCTGTTTATTGCAACTGTTTTAACGAAGGAGGGAAAAAAAATTGAGTAAAAAATGAGAAAAAAACAGCCACACATGCTTTAATAGAGTCACAAGAAGCTGAGACAGAGTGGATAAAAACAAGAACACAGTCTGTAGTTTAATTCAATATCAGGCAAAAACAAAAACAAGAACGGACCTGACCGGGGGCACTGGAGTCACATACAGACGTTGTGTACTGCCTGTCCAACTCCGGTGCATTGTCATTCTGGTCTAGTGTCTCTATGGCAACCACAACCCTTGACACAAGATTGGGATTGTCTGAAAGAAAAAAAGGGAACCAACACTAATGTTGAAATTATCACTGAATGTCTATCATTTATGCACCACACTTGTATTCCCAACTCCAGGCGGTGCTTTTGGTGAAATATGACTCTAGTAAGCTCTGCTGCTAATGGTGCCCGAGGGCAGAGGGGCTGACATACCCCTCTGTGTGGCGATGACAGTAATATTATGCCACTGCTCCTGCTCTCGGTCCAACTCCATCACTGTGCTGATAAAGCCTGTGTCAGAGGCGATGCGGAACAGAGCCTCGGGGTCTGACTGGGGATCGACGGAGTACCTGGGATACAGAAATAGGGCACGGGCAAATAATAGGAAAGGAAAAGATAGTGAGCCCTGAGTGAGTGAGTGAGTGAGTGAGTGAGTGAGGGAGTGAGTGAGTGAGTCAGTGAGTGAGTGAGTCAGTGAGTGAGCGATTAAATGTGCAATGGTGTGATAACCACCTGATGTTGGTGCTCTGTCCTGTGTCTGGGTCCACGGCGTATACCCGGCCGACAGAGCAGACAGGGGGGCAGTTCTCAGACACATCCAGATGGTACCGAGCTTGGGAGAATCGTGGCGGCTCATCAGCATTGAGGACCATGATCCGGACTGTTGCCTGGTCCTTAAAGGGACCTTTCCTTAGGTAGCGGGCGTCCACTATAGGGTTCGCAACCTCCACGGTGAAAGTGTATGAATTGCGGGTCTCATAATCCAGCAGCTGTTGGGTGAAGAAAAAGGCAGCCTCAGTCTGTGGGCTATACTTTATTGAAGGCCTTTCATTTATGATTTATAAATATATTTGTTGTATATTCTCATATACCAGTCTGCTTCATAATTAATATACAGTAAGATACTTTTCTCTTTTTTCCTCATCTCGCTTCCATTTGAATTACTCTAATCATTTTTTGGGTAATTACTCAACAGGCTCTCTCCTCTCCTAAGATTTCACTGCACGATAATTAGCCTTGAATGCCCAACGCTGTTAAAACCTGCAAAAGTAAAAAGACAAAGCCTGCCTTGAACATGGTCTACTCACTTGAATTGAGCTACAGTTTTTTAACCAGCTGCTTATTGGTTCATTGTTACTCATTAATTGCCCACTGTAGAGCCTTGGGAATCTGAACCTGTCAGCAGCAGAGGGTGTTTCAGTGGAATACTGAATGTTTAATTGACTAAATAAAATTAATTTGCAATACCAGACCAGAGTAAATTCTCCTGGAATCTTGCATATTATTGTTCTCATTATGAGGCCATTTAAGCTGCATGTAGTTTCAATCCTCTGCAATTATGAAAACTTTTGTTGAACTAAAGTTGCTTTACAAACAGTCACTGTGTGTGTGCACCCACCTTGTTCAGCACAATGACAGCCTCTTGGTCTCTTCCAGTTATATTGAATATTTCAGCCTCGTCTGCGTCCAGAATGGTAAACTCCAGCTGTGCATTTTCTCCCAGATCAGGATCAGTGGCAGTGAGACGGCCCACCTCCACACCTGGTGCTGCCAGCTCAGACACAGAAAATGACCACGCACCTGCAGAGAGGAAAACAATGAATATAATGGTTTGGAGGACTGGCACCGAATGATGATTCATCTCCATGTTAGGAAGTAAAGTAAGTACACAAGTTACAGCAGGACATTTTGAGTCAAAAGACAGTGGTTATTCACATAATCCCTGTCAGTGTTTTGGCTTTTATTATAGGAAAGTTTCATGACCAGGTTTAAAGAATATCTCATGCAGTACTCACATACCCATATGTGCCTTGTAAGTAATAATTTCTCCTGTTCATATAATCTAAATGATGTGCATCATAATCCACAGTCCTTGGTTTTTGCAGTGACGTTAAAGCTGATGTGAGGCTTCAGGTGTCTGAATTAGTCCAAACAAGAAGGTATCATCCAAAGTCATTTTACAATGAAATCCTCTCCTTCTGTTTCCATGCAGTTTTTCTCTACAGAGTTGCAGCAACACAAAAAGAGTGAAGCCTCATATTAGCTTTGAAATTCTGAATGTGTTTTTGTTCAGACTGGACTGTATGTTTGTCTCCCATCTCTAACATCTGAATTGTGTTAGGAAAGGATCTCTTTAGGGCGAGTTTGGAGAGGAAGAACATTTGCAGAAACCAGCGCTCTTTTCAATGTACACACTGTAGGCATGGGCATGTTTTAACTCAGAAATATGAAACCATCTTTTAAGACTTTTCCTTAGTGCCTCACTCTATGACTAAATTGTATGGTACTAACCCAGCAGAGTGTAGTTGTCAGCTTTCACCTCTATGTAAACTGAAAATCCATGGCTTTTGTTGTAACTGTTTGTCAGACAAACCAAGATATTAGAATCTGACACTTTATGTTCATTCACTATTCACTTTGCTACAACTGAAAATTAAACTGATAATGAAAACAGATGTTGGTTGCAGTACTGTTTTTTAGCCATGCTAACATCATAGCTCTCAGCTAGCATCTGGCAATGTTTGCCTGCTGGCCCACCACACCAAACATCTCAAAATATTAGATAAATATTAATAAAGTTTTGTACATTTTGTACACGTTTCCCTCAGGATAAATAATACTTCGATGATCCCATGACTTCTTAATCTAGCTGTTTATCTCAGCTGTACTTTTTGTTTGATGCTAATTACCAAATGTCTGCATGCTAACCTAAGATGGTGGACATGGTTAACAATATATCTGCTAAGTATCGTCATGTTAACATTGTCAATGTGGGTATATGTTGCCATTCTGGTTTTAGCATGTTAGCATTTAGCTCAAAGTACCACTGTGTGTAAATACTGTCTCCCACAGCTGCTAGCATGGCTTTACACTCTTCATTAGCATGGATAAACAAGGCTTAACACTGTAGACAATTTCAATATTTTGTGCTTAAACAACATCAAATGTTTTCTAGCTCATACAGCTCACAACGTGAAGATTTATTAATTCAGTCTGTTTTACATCATCATAAATGGAATATCTTGGGTTTCCGAACAAATAAAGCAATTGGAAATTGGAAATTATTTTGAGTTCTGGGAACTTGTGATGCTCATTTAAAAAAACAAAAAAACAAAACTGGACAAGTAATGAAAGCAATCGTTAGTTGTGGCCGTAGTGTCGTCTAATAATCCATTCACTAATGTTAGAAACATACACTAAATAAACCTTTGTAAAACTTCAAATTAATTGATAGGTATTTGTCCCATTGCGTTATTTATGAATCAACAGTCGCCTTCACTGAACGGAGAATATGAGCTGCTACTGTTACAGTCTGTCCACAAAGCAAGCATGAAAATGAAGCCAGTGGTGTGTGGAAGGTCATTCATTCATTGGAGAAACAAAATGACCTCTACTGTGATGCTGCAGAGCAACAAGCAGGAAATTCAGAGAAACGCCTTCAAATCAGAGCGCCTCTACCTTGCTGATTGTTAATTATTCAAATCCTTAAAGCATTTGAAAATCACACCCCTCGCACTCAAAGAGCATGGTAAATGAGCTGTTTGCTTAAATTGTGGCATTATTGCCAAATGGAAAATAATGACTCAGGGTGAGGTGGTGAGGGAGGGAAGATATAGTCAGATATCAGTAAATAAATAACACACTGCTGGTATTTGAAATATTAAATTGCTTCTATAAAGCGCTGTGTTGCGGAACAATATATCAACATGAGAAAAGGGGGCTTTAAACATTAAGATGAGCGGCAGTAAGCAGAGACTTTCAGGAAGAAGAAGTAGGGGAGAGGGGGAAAAGCGAGCAGAGGAGGGGTAGTATATAGAGAAATGCAGTATATGTCTCAAAGTGTTAGACACAGTCTGCAGTGATTTTACTGTCTATTGAAGCAGAAAGCACTGAACTTTAAGATGAAATATTAATAGCATGGAACAGGGAAAAGCTGGGATAAGAAAAAGTGGACATGATCTTTCACTCTTCATCGTTAAGCCACAGTCCATTTGAACCTCAGTGACCACGCCGGAGTGTTTATATGAATGTTAATGCCAGTCATCATGGCAAAGGTTGTGTTATTGAAACTGATGTTAAAAACAATGATTAGGAAGAGTGGATGAAATAAAAGAGGCAGACGCTGGACTGACAGGCTGTCTAGTTACTACAAGAGCTTATATATCATCCTGCACCTGTCAGGGCGACCAGGACACGAAGGAGGCAAAAAATACCAGACTGCTGTCACAAATGCCATTACAACATGTTTCATCATTTTAATCTTTACTCACACACACGCACACGCACACACATACATCCACATCCACACAAACACACACACACACACACACACACACACACACACACACACACACACACACACACACACACACACACACACACACACACAAGAACACACACAAATGCTCTATAGAGATTGAAAGCGACCAACAGTTAAGTGGTGATCTGATAACAGCAGTGCTTACTCCGTCTGAAGTGAGGAGGGTTGTCGTTGACATCGCTCAGCTTCACAGTGACGGTTGTGGTCCCTGATAATCCGCCCAGATGCCCCCCCATGTCTTTGGCCTGGAGGACGACCAGATATTCATCCTGAGTCTCTCTGTCCATATCAGGTACAGCTGTCCGCAGGACGCCTGGTAGAGCGGGGAGCGGGAGGCAGGACATGGAAGCAAAAATCACAACAGCAACAGATTTCACAGTGACACAGCGTCTCCAGAAATCAGCATCAAAGCGAGTCAGATGAATATATTTTAGAATCAGGACATTGGAAAACATGTGACTCTCTGCCGCTTCTGTTTCTGAACGATCATACGAAACGTTACTTCAAATGTTCTTATCCACACGGGACGGGACGTATGGTACAAAAGACATGTGACATCTAACAGCGCTGCTGGGATTTATGTGTAAAGTGTAATCATGAGCTGCAGAGGCATGTAGTAGTAAACAGCTTTAAGGGGATGAGTGGTACATGTGAGGCTGTGACCAGACCTGTCTGAGGATCCACAGAGAAATAGTCCTGACCGTGAGTGATGGCATACACCAGCCGGGCACTGTTTCCATATGTGGGATCGTCGGCATCTCTGGCCGTGACTTGGATTATGGAGGTGCCTGTGAAAGACAGGAGACAGCACATGTAGATAGATAGATAGATAGATAGATAGATAGATAGATAGANGAGAAATAGTCCTGACCGTGAGTGATGGCATACACCAGCCGGGCACTGTTTCCATATGTGGGATCGTCGGCATCTCTGGCCGTGACTTGGATTATGGAGGTGCCTGTGAAAGACAGGAGACAGCACATGTAGATAGATAGATAGATAGATAGATAGATAGATAGATAGAAGATAGATAGATAGATAGATAGATAGATACTTTGAATGAATGTAGGTGACAGGTTAAAGCATAAAGCTGGTGGATGGTTCATAAACCATTTTAAAGTGATAGTCCACTGAAAATCTATCTTCTGAATATCAAATACTTACATCTGTGGGATTATAGGGATTATCCAGTTCTCTGCTGTCTATCCGCGTGTTCAAAACATTATCTTAAAAACAAATATGTTACCCTGCTTGAAGCTCTGCTGCTGTGATAGAGTGATTTAAGCCACATTCTGACAACAATATGATTGTGTAAAATATACTAGATCTTTCTGGACAATGCGGAAGTGTATATGATGAAGTAGCAGCTTTGGAAGTACACTGATTGGCAGATTAATTGATTGAAAGAAGATTCATCTGAAAATATTTTAATAATTGATTAATTGTGTAAAGCAAAGATGTGATGCGTTGCTGTATCGTACGCAACAGCCTTTGGGATTTGTAAACTGAATACACGTCTCTGGGCTTTGGGGAGATGTGACTGACATGTTACAGACATAAGTCAGACATACGGATATTAGTTGTTTGGGTTGGTTTAGATGTTTCTTTGTCATATTATTCTTTATTTAGAGATGACTAAAATACCTCAACTATCAGATGGATTGCCACTCCAATTTCAAGTGCAGTGAATCGGTGGTGAATGAGTGAACAACAAAGAGATTTCAGACGCAGTTTTGCAGCGGGAACCTGAGCACTGAGGCTGCTCTCCATGCAGGACATCCCTTTTAACATTTTTAGATTTTGGTTGAAGTATCCCATTATTGTTGTTTTTGCGCCGTACCGATGTTGGCCATCTCTGGCACCATGGCGACGTAGGCTTCGTTGGGGAAGACGGGCGGGTTGTCATTGATGTCCTGCACCCTGATGATGAACTCGGACGACGGCTCCAGGGCTCGGCCAGTCTGACGGTCTGTGGCTGTTGCGATGAGGCGGTACTGGTCCTTCTCCTCGCGGTCCAGAGACTTGGTGACATGTATGTTTCCTGTGTTGCTATCGATAACAAACACAGAGCCCACCCCCTCTCCCTCCAACATGTACTTGGTGCGGCCGTCTCCTTTGTCCATGTCTGTGTGCAGCTGGAAAACAAAAGCACACAGAGTCAGTTACTGTGACACCTCCAGGCCTCACCCTCATCACAGACTGCTGATGCAGGTATAACTCATTAACACGACTGCAAGTGCTGCAAACATGACTGTGTAAAATGGGTGATTTGTGTGCAGACAGGATGTGCTCAGTGAATCTGAAATGAACGGCACCAGGTGTGGAAGATACATATGGGACCAGGATGAGTACTGATGCATACAGCTAATCAGCTCATTGGACCAAACATGCCACTGGGGGCTTCTGTGGGGCAAAATCACATCAGTGTGGACGGAGGCCGTGTAAATGTCCCACATGTATGTTCACAGATGCATCCTGCTAACACAGGCAGTATCCATCTGTAAATCTCTCTGTCTCCTCTATCCATCTGTCCCTTTCTTCCCCTCCTTGTAAATCCATCTGCCTCACTTCCCTGCACCTATTAAACCACCTCTTTTTCCAGTTCTTGCGTCTCTCTCTTTTCATCAAGTTACCTCAGTTACACAGGACGCCCATCTGCTCACATTTCTCATTTCAATCTCTCTCTCTCTCTCTCTCGCTCTCCCTTGGACGCTCTGTTTTACTCTCTGGTGCAGAATGCTGGTTGGGAATTTAATAGCAGAGAGGATATTAGTGTGAGCTTCATAGGTAAAAGTCCAAACACACAGAAATAGAAAGCTAAAGAGATTATTCAGCCCTCATGACACTGAGCTTTCTGACCAGGAGCCTTCACATCCCTCCACCCTTAAGGCGCATCTGCACATGTTCATAATCCACAAGGCTTTCCCATAACCTCTGCTGTGGACTGTAGATACTCATGAGAACTAAAGCCTTGGATTTAAAAATTCAGCTACAACAATGACTGTTTGCAAAATTTGCAGAGCGATTTCAAATGATCTTTTGCGAGACATTTTCATCCTGTGACGTGAAAGATGTTTGTGCAATGGAGAAACTGAGGAATTTAATTGCCTACACAATGACACGTGCTGAATTAGTGCATTTATGTGCTTCAGAGAGCTGCACCCTTGAGAGTGTCTTTATATTCCAACATAATGTATGTTACCAACATATGTTCCTGCTAGTGCAATTCTCACACACTGCACAGTATGCAGGCAGTCCAGGAGAATATATAAGATTAGTGTACATCCTGTATATGTGTGTGTGTGTGTGTGTGTGTGTGTGTGTGTGTGTGTGTGTGTGTGTGCTGAGGGGATAAAGTTAGGGATTATAGAAACTCATGATAGCATACCCTACAAATTGCTAGATAAGGGACTCAGGGTTTTTTATTCATCCCTACACACCCACATCCCACTCACTCTTTCTTCCTTAAAGCTAGCTTTGATTTTGATCCCACACTTCACCGCCAGAGACATCTTTGTCAGAGTCTGTGCCTATCTCGCTCCCCTGCTCTTTGCCTCACCCCCCTACTCCATCCTCTCCTCACTGTCTAATTGCTGGCTCAGTCCCGCTGTGCTTCAGTCAGCGTGGAAAAACACTCTCGCTGAGGGGAGGAAATGTATCCGCCCCGAAACAAACAAAGCCGGAAAAAGAGGAAATTCTCTTTTCCAATTCCTTTGTCGCTCTCTGTCCCACACAGTAATCTGAATTTTCCCCTCCTCTCACTCATGCGCTACATTCACCCACGGCTTTGTATCTGCTTCACGCTGCTTTTTCTGGCAGCCAAACTCTCCCTCTTTTTGCACGAGTTGAGTCACCTGCGATTTGAACTGTTGATAGCTCGCCTCAAACCTCGCGCCATTAGCGGGTTTGAGGCAATCATCCCTCTATTTTTGTCTGAGAGAAAACACTGCGCCTATGATCCCCTTGTAGTGCAGGGGCGCTTTATTACATGAATATCAACATAAAGACTGTGCCTGCAGAGGAATGAGTGGCTTCGTGGGTCTACTGATTGCTTTAACACCCCTCCCTGACTGTATCAATAACAACCAGAGAGGGAGATTAAACATTTATGAGGTGTATACTGCACTGGTAAGAATCCAATCTAGACTGTCACTATAAAGTATACTGCTGGCTGCAAAGTGGCTGGCAACATTCCCTGTTAGTGTTACAGCTGATATAATCCCACTCTGAGTATACTGTGGCTGCCAGCAGCTGCATTAGTGAGGAGCACCTGACTGTGAAATGCTACAAGTGAACCCCTGGGATCTGAATGGTTCAGGTGTGCTGCCGTGGATTAAATCATCTCAGACACTTTCTCATGTTGCGACACCGACAGCGGTCGGGGGGGGTGCTGGTGTGGCGACGAAAGGCTCAAGGATGTGACACGACAAGTGGCGCACAAACATTGCAATTATACCCTGGTGTGTTTGTGCCTAATGCCTGAGCGCATGACGGAGCATTTAAAGCACAGAAAAAAAAGACTAATTACAATTTGTAGACACGTTATTACATACACGGAAATATTTAATTTGAGAAAATAACAATCTGTTCTTGTCCTAATTGAATCTATTTGTGTTTGCTAATATTCAAATGAATGTTTGCTCATTTGGCCTCTCCCGGTTTCTCTGACCCATGGACGCTCACCCACAGCGTCGCTCTTGCTCTTTACATATCTGCTGTGCACACTCTCAGGGTTGTTTACTGGCTCACTCAACCTGACACACTGTGACACTGAGCCAAATTGGAGTAGGTCATTTTTAAATGGCTGGTTTGTCTCCAATTGGATTCGCAGTGTTACTGGTTACTATGGAAAGAGGGAACTGGAAGAGGAAAGCAGACACACACACAGCCACACATAATTGTGCTGTTTTGGCAAACATGGTGATGGCGAACAGGTAAATACATGTATTGAGGACAGAATATAAAATATAATTAATGTTCTTGCAAAACATCTGAAATGAAGCACAGATACGACTTCCTGCTTACCCGTCCAATGAGCACCGGCTCGGGCCCTCGATACTCCTCGATCACAAAGAACTGGTTCCAGAGCCAGCTCCTCCGGCGGCGAGAGCGAGGCCCCGACCCACCGTCCTCAGACTCTCTGACCCAGTTAGAGCGGCCCCGCGTCCTCTCAGGCGGAACGTCACCGACACCTGTCTCCAAATGGCGCTCGGGCTGGAGAGAGTCCTTCTCCTCTGAACTCGGCACTAGACTCTGATCATTAATTACACCTTCAAACTCTCCATTAGTCAAATTGCTCCTTTTCTTGTGGTTCACAGTGAGTTCAGGGCTATGTTTAGGTATGAGGGATGTGGCAGCAGATTCGGGATGTGTAAGTGTGACTGTTTTCCTCGCTGCGTTGTTCTTAAAGTCAAAATCTTCAGGTTCTCTGTCATTCAGCTGAAAATCCACATTTAGCAGCAGTCTCATATCATCCTTTTTACTCTGACGCTGGTTTTCCTCGTCTCTGATTCTCATAAAAAACTTCCCCGTGGACTCTGGTTGTGCTGAAACTTGTTGTCTTTTGCTTAATGTCACTTTCAAATCCTGCTCTTTCTCTGAAAGACCGACGGCCACTGAGATGCAGTTTCTTTCCCCTTTACAGAATAAAAGCAGAAGAAGCACAATGTGTGCTGCCATAGCTGAGCTTCACTGATCAGTCTGTTTCAGAGAGGAACTGACGAATGGCTGACCAGAGGCAGGTTGTCATGATGATGTCTTCCTTTCACCCTCTTCTGTCACGTTCTCCCACGATGCGCACATGCCGCACAGGTTCACCTGAGAGAACACATAATTAGTGTGATCGTCACTGTTTTAATTAAAAAGGGAAACAAGTCCCTCAAGTGAAAAGACAAAGAGATGTGACATCTTAATCATTATCTCATAAAGAAGAGGAGATATTGAGACAAGTGTGTGGTAAAACGTTTTGCTGCTGCTTGTTGAGCAGCTCTGTTTGCTAATCTGAGCGCTCTCTGCCAGCTGCTGTAAAAATAGCAGTGAGATTCACACAGACACTGAGCGTTACGGTCTGATAAGAAATTATTTAAAATGGAGAATTCACTTCGGACTAGATGCTGGTGGTCGCATTATTCTGCTGTTGTGTTTGAATCCTGTTATTGATCACTCAGGCCTTCCCAGAGTGTTAAGTGTGGTCTTAAAAAATTTCAATTAATTTGCAGCCTGAGGTTCTGGAGATGAGGTGGAGCTCAGGTACTTTACTGTTCCCTGTCACACACAACTGCCTGGACATGGGGTGATTTATGTCATCCCTAAAGACGGTCACCCCATGCCTCAGTGCCCGCTAGAGAAAGAAGCTCCCCTCAAGAGATTAATTAGACTCATAAATAATTTAATCAATGACTCGTCCTCATTTTCCAAAAGTTTAATGATGTGAGTTTCGTTAGTATTTGAGTCAGATCGCGGCCATTGATCTTTGAAACTTGATGTACTGAGAAGTGTCGGCGGCTTAACTACTCAAAGTGTGTAATTGCAGTTTTTCCATCCGTGGTCCACCTGCAACCATCACTCTGCTTCACTATTTCCTCAAATGAATGTAAATTTTCTGATGTCTGTTTTCACTTTTATACACGCATGGAGGCGTGCAATATCACAAACACATGAATACACACACACAAACACACACACACACTGTGAGTCATGGGTGTGCGTGGTTGTGTGGTTTTCATGAATGCACTTGTCTTAAACAGATTTACAGTGAAAGAGTTCCGTGTTAAAAAGCTAAGGAGATCTCTGCGCGACCTGCTACGCTCTGCAGATGCTCAATACCGTGAACATAAATGACATTGTGCACACTGATAAACCTAAATCCTCCGGCCTCATTGGACTAAATAAATGTACAGTCAAACACAGGCTTTGATTCATTTAGATGCAAATAAGCACAGAGAGGGCCTATAGTAATGCACAAGCCTTTGATGGCCGTGTATAATATGAACCATAACATTTTCTGATATGCTACATATGAAAGGACGGACACATGAAAATGAAACCAACTTTCTTCTTCACTCCAGATAATGACCTAGTTTCTAAAAAGCAGGATGGAGAACAGAATCAATTTGAGAATTTGATCATAGAAAACATTAAGTCATTTCTCCTCCTTTACATCTTTTTTTTTCCTTCTAAAAATTCCCCCTTGATTTTTTTTTTCTCATTTTGCACACCAATTATATCAAGTCATCCATGTGTAATACTCCATGTTCAGCATCTGCATCTGTTTACCATCATCTTAAATCTAGCAAAATACAAGAGGTTCCTCCAGAACACTTTTGTCTTCCTCAGCTATTGTGTATTAGCATAGACTGAGCTCACGGCTTACATTCCCTCTGCCAGCTTTGCTCCAAAAACACGTTGCCAGCAGTACATGCCATTCACTGTTGTTTGAAGTCTTTAGAGTGTAAGTGCGTATGAGATATGTGTGAAATGTAAGGCAGGGATAGAGGATGAAAGCGTGAGGACGATTTGCTGTTGCTGGCTCAGAATGGAATGATGAGTGGTGACATAGCTCTAAATTGCAAATCGCTGTTTCAGTCTCACTTCACTCTGCATCGAGTCGCTTCACTGCAACAAGGCTATTTCATTTTTATTAAAAATAGCCTGTGCATGTCAGGCCTTTTACATAGGGAGAAATGGGAGAAGGAGGTGGGGGTGGTGGGTGGCGGAAGTACACTAGGAGCAGAGGAAAGGAGGGGGTGGGGGGGGGGCTGCCCAGGCTTAAACGACCAGGACGTGGACAGATTCTGTTCCATTTGAACATCCCTGGCTTCCTCTGCTGCTGCCATTCGTCTTAATGCTCACACACAGACCTCTCATCCTGCCTCGCTGCCTCTCTCCTGCTCAGTGCACACACACACACGCACACACACACACACACATCTCTTAAGTCTTTCCAAATCACACTGGTGAGGAGAGGAGAGGCCCACTGTACTCAGCACATCAGTCAACTCATTATTGTCAAGCTTTGACACTCAGACAGCTTAACCTTAAGTGATGGCCCACCACTGCAAAAGCAGTGTGCCGCTGAGCAAGTGTTCAGCCTTGCAGTCATGTGTCATGACAAAAAGCCTCTGTGGTTGAACGGTTCTGTCAGTGTGTGAGAGTTGTACATGATCATTTCATTGACATTACATTGTAAACACAAAAGGACAATATAACATTTCTCCATTGCAATGAAAGCTCGTTGCTTCCTCTCTTTCTCTGACACGCACGCGCGCGCACACACACATCTGGCCCGCTTATTAGCATATCTAGTAGAGATACTCTAAACAGCCCGGAGCGTGACCTTGTCTTGTTAGAGGCAGCCAGGAAAATGACCTAGTTGATGCATGTTAATGTGATTTACACACTTGGCCTAACTATTATAATGAACGCAGCGTCCCAAAATACTGCTGTGGGCTTGTAACCGAGGTCCAGCGACCCCCTCATTTTAGCATGCGAGAACACCCCCCCCCCCCCCCCCCCCCCCCCGCCGTTGAAAGTTGCACGCGGCAGGTAAGCATAACACACACACGCACACACACACACACACACGACACACAAAACAAAAACAAACGCTACCTCTCCGGAAAATGAGCAAGGAAGCTCAGCGTTATCCGCGCCATCTGTCAGAGCTCGGCTCCCGGTTCACTCACCTACAGCACAGTGAGAGGCTCTCTGCTCAGCCGCCGCTCTGACACATCAACAGCTCGCACATGGTCACAGCAGCGACCAGGCGAGACGTTTGTTTCTGCTGCTAACCGCTTCAACCTGACAGTGACACAGTTGGGTAAAAAAGCTGAGCGCTAAAGTGGAAGGAGGACTAGGAACTTGTCGCGTCTGTGTGTGTGTGTGTGTGTGTGTGTGTGTGTGTGTGTGTGTGTGTGTGTGTGTGTGTGTGTGTGTGTGTGTGTGTGTAAGCGTAAAGAGGCTTGACTTCAATAAACGGGTGAATCGTGCAGATGAGAGGAAAGTGGCGGAGGATGGGTCTTACCGTGTGTCCTCGCGGCTCCGCTCCGGACGCTCTGTGGTTTAACGGAGCTGAAATGATCCAACATTGGGAAAGGATGGAGGTTCATCTGAGCTCAACGTGAGGTCTGTCCACTTAGCCCAGTCTTTCTCTCTCTCTCTCTCTCTCCCTCTCTCTCTACATCTCTCTCGCTCTCTCTACATCTCTCTCTCTCTCGCTCTCTCTCTACATCTCTCTCTCTCGCTCTCTCTCCCCCCCTCCCCATCTCCGTTTACCTCCCTGTCTCCTTTAGTTTACTCACCCTAAAAGCCTATTATTGTGAACCAGTATGTGTGGTGCTCACCCATTTTAACAAATGAGATCTATCATATTTATTATCATAGTTCCCTCAATGACATTTAAACCGTGTAAGTCCCTTCTCTATTTTCTGGTTAGGTTTTTTCATCGTTTCCTTGAAGTCACGCAGTGTTTTGTAATCTGCTTAAATGAAGCCAGGCTGCACAACCATCTTCAACTTTGCATTCTTCCACCCAGAAGCTCGACCAGAAAATTCCCACTCAGTGCTGCGTTAAAAGATGAAATTTCATGTCTAAGAATGACTGTGATTTGTTGGCACAGTGAGTTGAAAAGATTGTTCATCACGTGTTTTCTTTGAAAAATAAATTACATAAATGCCATAATTCAATGCTGTAATTCAGTCTCCCATTAAGTCTTCAGATTTGTGAATAGTGTCAGTTTTTTGCATTTGTCTCCACATTTCAAGGATTTCAGAACAAACTGACTTCATCTATTTGCAAAATCTTTTAGATGTGTGAGGTGTAAATGTAAAATCCCTCCATTTCTTCCCTCAATATTGGAGTATATTTACACTTTGACATATTTTATCCCATATTTCCTGGGGGTGTAATATGTTTGTTTCTCACCTGTATGTGTTGAATATTGAATGTGTTGACAGACAGTGATGGCAGGTAGTAGTACTCTAAACACAGGAGCTGTGAGTCTCTCAGTCCTGTCAGAAGTGATCATTCATATGGAGTGCATCCTGGCTGTTGCACATTGGTGTCTCTGGATTTTTCTTGAGTTCTATTTCTGACCAAGAAACAAGTAAAAGTGTTAGTCCTATGATTTGAAAGCAAACTCGCAACCCTAATGTCACAGCTCAGATCCTCGTACCCAGCTTGGTATGGAGGTTTATTAATGCAAAAACCACTGCGCAAGCACAGCACAAAGCCAAGCAGTGATCAGTCTGTGAGTCAGGACTTGAGAGCACACAGGGGCAGATTTTTGAGTGCAAAACTTGTTCTGAGCTCAGACTGTGTCAGAGAGATGTCAAAGAATTTTGGGAAAAAATTTCTGGCTGCTACGGTCAGATGTTCTCTAAGCTGTTTGAGATGAATGTGAAAGAAAAAGAAAAACAGATGTACTGATGCAACTTTGAAGCCAGGGTGTATGACGTTTCACTTCTTGGTCAAACCCAGTGGAGTCCTCTCTGTTCTCAGCTGCAGTTTGCATGTGAGGAGTGGAAACAGCCAAAACTGAACGAGAAGCTTTGAAAAGGGCAACGAAGCCCCACTGCTTGCTCAAGTCTTGAGTCACAGTTTGTCTTGCAGGCTCAAAACTTTGATTACGATTCTGTCCTTGTTTCTCTCAGAACTCTGGCCCTGCTAGCTTTAAAATCTGGACCACTAAATTGGTTTCCACTTTTTGTTTTTTCGCTCGCTCAGTAATTCTGTCATTAATGAACTTCCGACGATGGGAATTATGGATGAGGTCGGGGAGCGAGGGAGGCTTTCCCCTCTTCCTCTCCCGGCTGCAGACACTCATACAGTAGCTACTAGTTTAGGTTTGAGAAGACACTCTGATGTTCCACTGGAGACGTGCTGAGCATCGTCGTGCAACCCTGCCTGTAATTTATTTCTTGCAGTTATTAACACATAGACAAGCTCACTACACACACCCACACATTAGCCATTACAAACTCAGTCACATAGAGTATACTGCAAAAATAAGCTCATTATATCAGCATGTAAAAACACAACATTAAGCACTGCTCCAACATTTTGACATGTAGCGTAATCCATATGCTATTTAACTGCTCCCATATGATGGACTGCATTGAGTGTGAAACCTTTAACCAACAACTGTGTCCCCCTTCACTCAGATGTGAGAAGTCAGGGCTGAGCGGTGCGGAGCTGGATGAGGGTGAGCGGCTCCGGACCTTTCGCCCTAATATCCTTTGCAGAGTCATTGTCACTTGAATAATTACTCGTATGCTTAATTTACGACCTCACCGCTCAAACAGAATGAACAAGCAAGTTCAGCAAAAATTTCATGTGTTCATTAATTTACTGACGTGTCCGAGAAACTTCAGAGGTGTCCTGACAGCAGACACAAATCAGTTTGCCACGGCTAAATGTGTTCACTTATATACAGCAATACATTATGACCTTGAGCCTCAAGACAGTTAGATTTTCTGGACTACTCACTGTGGTCCTTTTTAACTGCTCCCTTCTGTTTGTGTGGTTCAAACACAAGCAGGACCAGCTAGACACTGTCTATTATACTAGAAATGATTCATAAGGTTTTTGACGTCTAAATCAAAATGCCAGCCAGAAGCGCGCTGTTAGAATACATTTTATCATCAGCACAAACAAAACATCAGCTGTTTATTAGAGGGAACGAGATGCATGCCCAAATCATTTGAGAAATAGCCTGGAGGATGCAACTGCCTGTCCTGTTCATTAATTTAGTATCTGCTGCAAAGATGCCATCACATCTCTTCAAAATACTCCCTGATGTTTGCCTTTCTTTTCTCATGCCATTTCTGTTTGTTTCATGTCTTTACTCAGTCTAAGTCACGTCCTGTCTCATCCTCCTCTCTTGTCTTTCCTTCTCTCTGTAATATTCCTCCTTCAGATCCTCTCTGTTCCTGCGAGTCCATCCCTTTGAGGAGACGTGATAGACGTCCACATGGTTTCCTGAGTATGCGTCCCTGCGTGTGGCTCTGTACACTGCCTCTCTGGCTATTGATGTGGCCTCATCCACTGTCAGTTCCCATTTAACTCCTTGGTCCAAAATTGAATAAGCATAAGGGGATCCCGAGCCCACGGAGAAGAGCGTTCCCTGCAGGCGGGTGCCGTCACTGCACACATAAAACAGGCTGGGTCCACGCGGACTGATTCTCTTCCTGCTGGATCGCTGTTGACCAAGAGTTGAGGCAGAGCTCTGAGTCTTTGGCTTTGTCAGAGGAACCTTTTCAACACTAGTGGATTTCTCCAGTTTCTTTGTTGTTTCTGTGCAATCACCAGGATCAGACTTTGTTCCTCCATCGTCACGGCCTCCATCTGCCTCTCCTCCATCCCACCCACACAAGGTGGCAGCCACACACAGCTCAGTGCCCTTAAACGGGTGAAGCATGTGTGAAAGCAGTTTGGCGGCTCCACTTGTGGACAACCTTCGGCCGTGGCGGAGCTGGTAAAGCCGCAGTTCTCGAGACAGAATCCGCTTCCAGAGGGCGCAGTCGGCTGAGGTACCCGAGGTGGTGCCCACCAAGTGACTGTGAATGGGCAGGATCTTCTGGGAGGCTGGGCATGCCACAAGTCCGGAGCAACTGGAGCGCGTGTCCGCTGCAGCCAACACGCCGCCCTGAAACATGAAAGCCAGGGTGGTGGTTCCATGAGAAAGGGGGAAAGGTAGAGGGACAGGCTGGGAGGAAGCGTGAGGAGGGCTTATGGGTAAAGAGAGGCATGGCAGGAAGGAGTCCTGAGATGAGAGAGCGCTGGAGCTCTGGATGGTGCTGATTTGTCCAAACTGTATCGGACTTTCATCAAGGTACTCTGCTACAGGTACATAAAAATTAAACAGACTTGTGCTATTTCTAAAGGGCAAAGCTCTCAAAAAGTTACATCCTGTTTTTTTAAAAGGCGCTGAAGAACATTCCATGGTTACATCATCCAGACAGATGTCCTGGAAATTGCAGAGGTCTTGTAAAGCCATTGAAATTATTATTATTATTTTTTTCCAAAGAAAATCTCTTGAATCAAGTTCAAGTTCAAAAATATTCTTCTTAATTATCTTCCAAAGCTCAGTATCTCATCTGGAGTTGTAGTTCATGTGTATTTAAGCAGCAGTCACCCTTTATATAGACGAGACCACGTTCATCTACATGTGGTCATCTAAAACAGCCCATCAGCATCACTTACTGATGCCTCACTCCCATGACTTTGAAGCATAAACTTTCAGCAGCGCATGGGTAATTAATTTTGGCTGCGCTATCAGGTTGTTTTTCAGATCAGATTTCTTCAAAGTCTTGTGTGGGCATAGGCCAAAGAGGACGCAGGGTAACAGCAAAGCCTTGGGTAGAGCACATCAAATGAAGTTAGACTCTGAGCTTTGATGCATCACTCCCATGGAAAGTTCCCCAACAGAATCAGACATACAAATGATTCAAACAACATTTTGGTCAAACAGCAGAGAACATATAACCGAGCCGTTCAGGTACTGTGCCGTAGGTGGCCCTTTAATGGCAATAAAGAGTTTAACCTGCAGCACCGGAATATCAGGTAATCCTGCGTCTCACAGGGTGTATGCTCACACAGCTGCCACCTGTTTTGACACGGTGCTACGAGGAGTCCAACACTGAGAGAGCCAATACTGTTTCACACATAACTTTATTTATTCATCTGCTGGATTAGAGGTAAACTTGGGGATTACGCATTTGTTTTTATGTTTCAATTCATCTCAGAATGACTGTGTCCCACGCCATCATTTTTGGATATGTCCTCACTGCTGCTGTTATAATGGTAAGAGAACTCTATTACACTTACTATTACACCTGCGATATCACTTATCTGCTGCTATTTTTTGTTATATTTAAATATCTAATTGTACATGTTATATTATTGTATTGTTTATCTTTTTGAAGTACTTGATACTGTCATTTTGCAGTTTTTCTTTCTTTGTACTGTCATTTTGCTGCTGTGACATTGCAAATTTCCCCACTGTGGGACTAATAAAGGAAAAACTTAACTTACTGTGTCCATTGTTGAATGTGTAACTAGCCCATTCATTTATATTATTTTTTTTTTTATTGTTTAAAGCAGCTATAATCAATATTTTTATAACAATGTGAAAGGGGGCTCACATGCCCCTCTCAGAGAATTATCACTGGGATCTACAGCTTCCAGCTTTATGGCGCTGTATAGTGGGTTTCAGCTCATAAAGCTGCTCGCGCAGCAACTTTATTGTAAAGAAAGCTTTATAAACCGATTGCACACTGCCTGCACAGCACCAACCAGCACACACACAGAGTTAGCAGTTAGCTGGTGAACACAGAGTTAAGAGTTTCGAATTTAGCTGCTAAAGAGACAGATACTGGAAACCAACGAGAGCGTAGGGGAGAGTAATGTATGAGGTGGCTAATGTTGCTAACATTGTTCCGGATTTGCAACAAAGTGGCAACCGTTGCTAACACGTTCACAATTTCAATTAAAAAAGGTGATGAAATGTCAATGTTGTGTGCACAAGACAACAAAAGAAGAAAGGTGGGGGAGGGCAGGTGTGTAGTGGGGAGAGGATACTGATGATTACATAGAATACAGCATAGAATGAATAACTTCACTGCATTAAAAGTGAATTACAGGACTCCATCCTTTGATACATTTTATTCAGCCTTAATGCATATGTTATATCCTCCATCTTGTACAGTTAGATACTTTTTGGATCCAAATGTTGTATGTTGGAGGGTCAGGTTTCAACCACCTACTTGTAATTAATTTGATGGCAGCAGCTAATAGGATTTGTAACAAACACACATCAGTCCTCCAGCAGGCCCATGCAGGTTTAAGCAAGTGAACCTCAGATTAAAAATCTGTTCTCTGTCAAACATCTTCATGTTTCCTCTCTCATTAGTTTCAATGTAAAAACTGCTGCCTGTTTATTTATATATGCACTTCATTTTATTCACATATCTTTTACTCCACCCAGGGAGAGTGTGTGTTACAAGCCAGTTCCTCCCAGAGTGCTGAGAGCCTGCATGACAATTTCATAGGGTTTGACTCAGCCCCTGACAAAGTGGTAGATGGCTCAGCGGTCCGTGTGCGGTATCAGTGCTCCCGGCCATGTCAGCTCGCAGTCGAAGTGGTGGCATCCACATTAAGGAAGACAGATTTATTGGTCTTCAGGAGGAAATGGATCAGCAGCACACCCCGAGTCCTCAGGATCCACCAGGTGCTGCTCAGATTGCCTCCGTCCATTTTATATCAACACGACTTTTTTAACAGGAATGATTTGGAGGCTGAAAATGTGACAGTTCGTGCTTGGCTGCACCATCTTAAAGACATCCGCCAACCCGGGACATACCATGGCTCCATGTTGAAGATTTATAAAGTGCTGCAGGTAACACCACCCTCACAGCGTCCAACTAAGCCTCACACTGAGTGCCCTTCATGGTCTGCCTACCTGGTGTGGCAGGTATCCAGAGACAGACTCAGTCAGTGTCCGCATGAGTCAGGTCAGACCTTTAATCACATCTTTTCTTATTTGGTCCATTTTTATCACCAAAACTTTTGAAGGAAACATGGAAATGTTTGTGTGTGTAATGTTTTGCTTGTTCACAGATGTAATAGATGTACTGAAGTTCCCTTTGGCAAGTACTGGTGAGCACTTTGGTGTTGTGCGCAGGTTCCAGCCTTTCATGGACGGAGGCCTGGAGAGAGTCCGTCTTCATGCTGTGACACAGCCCAGGTTGGACTTCACACTTCACACACTGACTTCTCATTTAGTTTCAACCACACAGCATGCAAAAATCTCCGGCAGGGTTTTCCAAATGTGTCAAATAGTTCTGAAAGGCAGGATTTTTAGATGTTACATGTGATTATACTGCCTGAAATGTACAGTATATAATGTCAGTGCTTAGTGTTGGTATCAGCAGATTGAAAGGCCACAGGTCAGCGATTGTTTCCTTTCCAGCACTGGCAGCTGTCACATCACACTCCACTTTTAGTTTAACTTTCACTGTCAATTTAAATGGCTTGACAAGCATCATGAAGCCTCTTCACTAGAGCATATAAGCTTTTTATTTACGGTCAATGAAAAACAGTGAGGTCAGTCATTTTTAGCAGACCGCGCAGCGTTTTAAACTCAACCCTACGCTTCGGTGACCAAGGAAATGATTTGTCAAATCGTGTTTGGTTGCTGTGTTTTCAGCGTCGCCTTATCTGTGTGGATCTACCTACTGGAACGCTGTCACAGGAAGCTCTGTGGGATCATCCATCACCTCGATAGGAAAAATGCATTCGGCTCTGTTCTGATGCAGCTCACAGACACAGGTGGGTCACAGCAGCACACCTGATACCGGTTCAGGGGATTGGATTGAGGTATCACAGGGTGATTGTAAGTGATGATGTGTGTTTTGTGAGACGGTGGAACAGACTTTGTTATGTATTAATAAAGAGCTTTGGATCTCCTGTGGTGAAATATATGACTGTCATATCTCCTGTGTAGGGGACGTCATAATTCAGGCACGTGTGACAACAGGAGAAGATGAAGCTTTCCAAACCAGCATAGCGTTGCCTCTGTGGAAATGGATTAGATTAGACTGCTACATACGAGACTCAAAGGTATGGAACCTCAGTGTGCACCTCTGTGTGGGGGGATAAGGAGCAGAAATTAAAATGTGGCTCGGGGCAACGTCTTATAGTCATCCTCTCTCTTCTGAGTTTCATTTGGTGCTGTGGCTTTGCAGTGTTTGATTTCCTTTTTGAACAGCTGTAAGATCCTGAACTGTGGTGCCTCTCCAGCTGGGAAACTCCAGGCGATTTCGGCGTGTACCGCAATTTGGAGTGGTTCACAGCTGAGCAGGTTTTTTTCTGAGCGTGGAGAGCTCATGCATTATTATGTCTGACTTTCAGGTGCTGTTGTATACAACGTGGGATGATGAAACCCGCAGATATGAATACGAGTAAGACATGTCATGGATTCTGTTTTAAGATCCACGCCATTTATCTGTGAAATAAGCAAAACAAAGTGCAAATAGAACAGGGATGACTGATACGTGCACGGAGTCATGATGAATATCTCACAGATTTCAGGACAGCATCTATTATGATGACACTGATGGATACTTTGTGATTGGAGGAAGCAAATACATGCCAGGGATCCACGGGTATTATGGGCCTATCAAATACCATCGTTTAGGAACTGAAGAGGTGAAGTTCCTGCTCTCTAACAAGACACAAGTCAGACACCGTTGTTTGGATTTATTGCTGTCAACCTCAGTGTGAAATGAAATGTTATTCATATTACAGATAAAAACTCACCTCAACCCCGAGGCAACATTACAGGAGCTGGATAAGACTCATCGCGAGTGTCAGGAAATAAAAAGGTTTACAAAAGCTTTTCTGAGAGAAGTAACTGAGCGTCACCTCTCGTCAACAATCAGCAAAGGTGAAATATTATTCTGACAAGTCCCTTAAAGCCTGCTCTACAGACAGCAACCTCATATAGATCTAATATATGGGGTGTCAATAAAATGACTGCACACCTATTCAGTATGGAAGATCAATGTTGACAGACTGCCTTTTGTGATATATTCCAGATGTCTGTACGCCTCACTTCATTAGACTGTGGGGTCAGTTTGGTGAAAAAATCTGCACACAAACATGGAGCTGGGAGACACCACTTAAACACAGCTCGCTCTTCCATCTCCTGCAAACAAAAGAAGAGGAAGGAGGCAGGTGTTTTAAATAGTTTGCCGTGTTTATCATCTCTTTCTGTACGTACAAGGGATGATTGATACATCTCCTTCTCTGTAGGATCTTTGGGCATGAAGCAGCTCAGGACTGCTTTGTTTAAGGAGGCAGTTGCTACAATGTTCCCTGTGGATCAGGAGCAAATTAAAATCACATCCCAATCAATGTCCCTGCTACAAGTGTCCTCCTGCTTTGGAAATCACAAAGCGTCTCTGTTGCTGGCCTCTGTCCTCCTCTCTGGCCTGGGACACACAGTCGATCAGCAGCAGGTAGTCAACACTTTCCTCTTAACGTAACTGCTGCTTTATCTCTACAGTCTCTATATGAATGTTGTTTCTGTAACCACGGCTGATGATACTGACTCCTGTGTGCTTCAGGCCCATGTCTATAGTTTGATTGGTGCATCAGGCGATGACCGTTTTGCCCTGATGCATGCAGGGTACAAACACACACAAGGAATTGATGGCTTCCCTAAAGACCTGGACATGGCTTACAGCTACTATTCTAATGCTGGGGCCCAGAGCAGCACTGACAGTTCCAACATACATGACACTGAGGTATGTTTAAATGACTGAACTCACTGAAAAATGTATTATGATTTTTAGCCATGCTAGCAGTATGGTCAGTCCACCACTGTGGTCCAAGTGTCTGTACAGAAAACAAAATTCTGTTTGTCTCTATACTGTAGTTTATAACCAGATACCTGCGAGACTAATGACATCATCATCATCAGCCTTAGCTGTACTTTGTGTTTTGTGCTAATTAGCAAAATACCATGCTAACACACTAAACTAAGATTAACATTAGCATGTTAGCTTTGTCAGTGTGGGTACATTAGCATGCCAACAGTAGCACTTAGCTCTACTGCTGTGTAAAAGTGCAGCCTCACAGAGCTGCTAGCATGGTTAGACTGACGATGTGTTCATGCAGCATTGGAATAATCGGGAAAACTAGCTTGAAAATTTTGGTACATGACTTGCAGCGTTGTTGACGTCATATACGCAGAAACATGGCAGATGAAAGTAAATGTTTGGTTGATGATGACAATCTTTAGATTAATGGTGCAAATTCATGTATTGCATATCAAGTTTTGCTAGCATTTCATTTGTGAAGAAATGAATAAAATGGTAAGTGGACTGCACTTATAAAGCGCTTTTCTAGCCTTGTTGAGCACTCAAAGTGCTTTACAGTGAAAGCCACATTCACACAGCACACTTTCTTCATTCCTATCACACACACTCACACACTAACAATATGTCAGGGCCAATTTGGGGTTGAGTATCTTGCCCAAGCACACTCCAACATGCGGACTGGAGGAGCTATAGGAATCAAATCACTGACCTTCTGATTAGCTCTGGGAGCTCTATCTCCATGTTGTACCTGTTAGTTGATGTCCACATAGAGTGAGCTACATCAGTTAGAATTATTAGCAGCAACACAAATACTGGAAACAACTGTCAACATGTTGATTTAATGCTCTGAGCAATAAAATAGAGCACACCTTCTTAGCGTCCATGTTGCTTCCATATTCTGACTTAAAAGCACATGAACACACCAGAGATGGGAAATGGGACCATCCGAGGAGCATGTGAATGCAGCGTTAATCGTGTTCAGTAAAAGCAAACAGGATGCAGTATGTTAATTATTGAGTTTTCAAGGTGCTGGTAGTTGAATTAAACATTCTCTCTTTTAATTCTAGAAGGTGAGTTTCCTGTTTATCAGATGGTCAAAATATATACACTAGTGTAGAGCACAAACAGCATAAACAGACATAAGGGTAACACATAGACTTCAAGATGCACATAGGCACACATACAAACACACACTGTACACACGGGACAACAGTGATACAAAGGTGGCCGTCTCCAAAATGTGATGAATAGTGTTTGTTAGCCAGTTGGATCAGAGTCGTACAGGGAGAATAATTGGGTCTTACATCTCAATTTAGAAATGTGAATGAGGAAGCTGCCCTGATGTATAGAGGGAGAGCACTCTAAAGATAAAAAGCCCGCTATAGAAATTCTAATTCATATTTATTCTTAGAATATTCAAATAAGCTGCACCTAATGAATAGCCGGTCATGAGGACAACAGACAGACCTCTTTGTTCCAGCTTCAATAGGCAGCCAATGCACTGAGAAAACAGTTGTGGTCAAGTTTATTCCTGGAAATTCTCACTGTGGCATTTTGACCAACTTGGAAACTTTCTGACGGCCAGAGAAGATGACAGCAGAACGATCCATCTGGAGCCAATCTGAAGTCAAGGCCCTGAAAAGCCATTTTATCAGCTTCTTTCTATAAGCACCAGAGTCCTTCAAGACCACGGAATGTTCTGCCAAAGTGAGAACGGTTTTGGTTGTTTCACATGAGAGATTTCTGCCTCTGTTGAGTATCTGAGCTGGTCTGATCTGGGCTGGACTCAGTTGAAATAACAGGATTTAGTTAAATTGAATCACAGTCTGATGACAATCATGGTGTTGTTCGTTTATGTTGCCAGCATTGTCAATCAAATGTTAACATACCACACCCACACAGTCCTGATGAAGCAGGGTTAGTTGAGATTTTGAGTTTTAAAGTTTAAATAGATAAAACCTAACTCTCTAAAGCCATGAATATTTATTGAGAAACTCTGTATACCAAGTTTTCAGGGGTTTAAAGAAAACAACGTTTCTGCATCAGTGACAGATGGAAAGGGTCAAGCGAGTTTTTGTAAAGTTTTTAGTCTGAGACTCTGGAGAGAGAGGCTGGAGATGGAACAGTTGCTTGGTTGTAATAGCACTAGTGATACCAGCAGCAGTTGTATTAGTGGAGCAGTAGAAGGAGCAGTGTTACATATAGTTTAACAGCAGCGGTGCTTCTGTTTGTCTTTTCTACAGCAATACACACCTGAACACATCTATCTAAGCAACCAGAAGGATTTAAACAGCCTGACACATGAGAGCAGTGACGTCTTTCAGTATCTGAAACTCCAAGCAGAGAGGGGAGACGCAGAATCTCAGGTATGTGTGGTATATTTTCACTTTTTGTAAAGATGAAACACACAAATAAAGAGTGTATGAATATGTTTGTATAAAAACCAAGGAAAGAATTAAATACAACTGTTATTTCTCCTTTGTGGTCTATAGACAGTGTCTGTTTTAAAATGAACAAAAACTCTATTATCTTTAGAGACGCCTGGGATTAATGCTTTACTGGGGACAAAATGGAGTCTCAAAAGACATAGAGAGTGCACTGAAGTGGTTTGAGAGAAGTGCTATGCAAATGAAGGATCCCTCAGCGATGTACGACTACTCCATCCTACTGATGAAGGTGCTATAACATTATAAAATTTTATTCTATGATTGAATTGAAGGCTGTGTGTGTGTGTGTGTGTGTGTGTGTGTGTGAGTGTGTGTGGGTGTGTGTGTGTGTGAGTGTGTGTGGGTGTGTGTGTGTGTGAGTGTGTGTGGGTGTGTGTGTGTGTGAGTGTGTGTGGGTGTGTGTGTGTGTGAGTGTGTGTGGGTGTGTGTGTGTGTGTGTGTGTGTGTCTGTGTCTGTGTTATGACAGTTATTGATTCACTGACTGATGTTGATTCCTTCAGGGTGAGGGAGTGAAAAGAAACTTCACCCGAGGTTTTCAGCTGCTGAAGAAAGCTGCAGCGATGGTACGTGTGTAGTAATCAATCTATGTGTTTACAGGACGAGCCTTCACTATGAATACCAGTGTCTCTTTCCCCGCTTTAGGGCTCAATTAATGCCTTGAATGGTTTGGGCTGGTACCATGGGATTGTACTGAACGACCACAGAAATGCAGTGAAATACTTTGAGCAAGCTGCGCTAAATGGGAGCGATGATGGCATGTTTAATCTGGGAGTTTATCATCTCAGTGGGAAAAACCCACACAACCCACAGAGGAACGAGGTCTGAGTCTGACACCTTGTCATAATCTAGTTTCATGACTGATATGTTGTGATTGATTGATCTATGAGCTGATATATTTTTTATATGACCCACAGATGGCTGCATTCCAGCAGTTTCTTAACGCATCTCGCTTCGGTCATGTGGCTGCATCAGTGGAGGCAGCCTGGTACCTTTCGACAGGAAGCCTGAAAGGGGTGTCTCAGGATGTGGAGAGGGCTGTGATGTAAGAGGCTTTCATTAGCTTGGTGAAGAAAGCTTTGTTATGGGCTGTTGCACTGTAGCCTGCAGCTCAGTGGCAACTAATTTCAATGACAGTGGCTAATTCAAGGTCAGCACCTAGTATTTGCATATCTAAAAATAAGAGCAACTGTCACCACGTTATTGTCTGGCATGGAATGATTCTGCTTACCAGTGCTCCCCTGGTATCTTATGAATTTAAAGAAGCTCCTGCTGCAGCTGTGGAGGCTTTTTTTAGAATGACCTCAACAAATCAGAAACTATTTTTAGATCATATTGAAATATTTTCTGTTTATGTTGTGTAAATTATATTCCATAATTCATCACCCATCCTTTACCCTCTGTGCAGAATGCTAAAAAAGGTCTGTGAACAGAACGGACACCTTGGATTTATGATCAGAGAGGCTCTCCAGGCCTACCTCCAGGGTTCTTGGTAGGGACATTATTTTCAATTACTTTTCAATTGTCCTCATTTAATCATTTTCACTGCTCTTTACTATTTGTCCCGGGTTCCTCACATGTGTTTTATTGTGTTGCCAACAGGCAGGAAGCGTTTGTGAAGTACGTTTTGGCAGCTGAAACCGGTCTGGGTTTGGCCCAGAGCAATGCTGCGCACCTGTGTGAAGTACATGTATGTTGTTTTTCTGGTCTTAACTCTTGGTGTGTGCCCTTAAGCAAAAAATGCTGCCTGTTCTTTCAACTGGGAATTTAAGCACAACTCTGAAATCAATGTCATATAATTGAAGGTCTGAAGAGCATTATTCCAGTCACACACTAAAAGAAGAAAACGAAGCCGCAGGGAAATTATTAGCAGCAGATAACATAACATTGCTGCGCTCTCTCTCACACACTGCAATCATTTTCCAATGCAGGAGCTGAATCTCAGTTATGATTGTCAGTGGAGATATCATAACTACTCTATATTAAACTATGATCCCCATCAGTCCGGTGAGTTCCCTTCATTTCATTTCACTTTAACCTCTTCCTCCCCCTGTCACTCTGATCAATAAACAGAAAGTATTTATCTTCTTTTATAGCTCTGCTGAAAATGGGAGACTACTACTACTATTCCTCCAGCACGCAAGAAGACTCATTATCCTTGGTTGGTCAGGCCGTATCGATGTATAGCAGAGCAGCTCTAGCGGGCAGTCCTCAGGTGACAGATTTACTTGGGCTGTAATCTCATCACCCAATGATAAACTTAATTAAACTTCCACAGGCTCAGGCCCACCGCAATAAAAACAACAAACAGAATAATACAGTGTTATTATTTCTAAGTCTTTCTCGGTGAATAACCCATCAGCCTCCTGTTATTATTTTATTTTCACACCGATCCACAGGGAATGTACAACCTGGTCGTTTTGGTTCAACAGGGGCACGTTCTTCCACTGAGTGTCCGTGGACTGTTTAATGTGTCACATCATGATAAGAAGGACGCTGTGGTGGAGAAGATGCTAAAAAGGTGCTTCTTTAAGTTCATAAACTGCCACAATATTACTTGTGATAAATGTTGGAACATATGCAGCAATCCAAAGCTGTTTCATATGATATCATATGATGTGCTTCTTTTATTTTAACAATGTGATGGTTTGATATTTGATACAATGTAGATGCTTTAGGAAGCTTTGTTTTCAAGGAATAGTTTGACATTTTGGGAAATACTAGCAGGTGGAAAAAGCTAGCCTGGCATAATGGGGAAAAAAGGCAAAATGTGTTATTTGAAAGATTTACAAATGCTGGTAGCTGGACTTTGTTGCATTCTGGGCAGAGCCAGGCTACCTGTTTGCCCCTGTTTCCAGTTTTTGTGCTAATCTAAGCTAACTGGCTGCTGGCTCTAGCTTCATATTTACAGTACACTACAAAGTAAGTCTTCTCTTCTAACTGCTGGCAAGAAAGCAAATCATATCATAGTCCTTCAAGTGACAGTCAGTTCTAGCTAATGTTATTGCTAAATACATCAAGGCCCAAGTCTGCTCATTGAAATCATCCTTTCACTTATTTGCTTTCTGTCTGAGAGTTAGATGAGAAGATTGATACCAATCTCATGGTTATCCATTAAGGCACAACCAGCAGCTGGTTAGCTTAGCTTTGTACAAAGACTAGAAAGGTGGAAAATGCTAGCCTGCTGTTTTGGCCTTTGTATAGAATAAACCAAGTAACCAATACATAATGTGTTATTTGTGAGATTTAGAGATACTGATAGCAGTACTTTGTTACCTTTTGGAGAGAGCCAGCTACCTGTTCTTTGCTAAGCTAAGCTAGCCAGCTGCTAGCTGTAGCTTCTTATTTACTGTAGGTACAGACATGATGTAAGCCTTGTCTTCAACTCAAAATGTCACAGTCCTTCAAGGAAACGTCAGTTCTAGCTAACGTTAGCTGTTTTTATTGCTAAATACATGTATTCTGGACCCTGAAGTCTGCTCTTGCGCTTTCTCATTAACCTCTCAGTAAAGTGCTTCCACTGTTATTTCAGCATCATATGCAACACACTTTTCATTTTTTCCATTATTTCTTCTCCTCAGATGTGTGGAGACTGACTCTGAAGACGCAGTAACACCCTGTTCTTTAGCTCTGCTCGGAGTCCAGATGGGAAAAGCCTTGAGGAGGATGACTCAGAACGGTGCACAGCTCCTCTTGGTAAGCACAAGACAATCAGCTCCTACTGTATAAGAGAAAAATTCAATACACTGCAAGCTGTCCTCCTACAATATATTATCCTCCTTTGATAATTTGATCTTCCTTTAATTATTGAAATATCTGAAAATGCAAATCGGACTTTCATCATGAATAAGACATTAAAGCCACTATAGGCTGCTATTTTGAGAAGGAAAATGCACAAATTATTTAAATCATTCTTCTTATTTCTCTATAGGTATATGCATCTCTTCTTTCTGTCTGTGTCCTTACTGTCATTGTGCCATTTCAGAGCTGTCTTGGTAAGTAATGAGTGGTTTTCAAAACTGCACCCACATACATGTACTTGCCACAAGATGGTACAATTTCCCCACATATTGGTTTCCTACCTCTTGCACTGACTTATGCATCAAAAGGAAATATATAATGTAATTGTGTTTGTTTACCATGAAAAGTGTCCTTACCTATTTCCATCCTTCTTATCTGCAAATGAACACAGAACAAAGGGCTCCCAGACGCCGTGTGGTTGAAGTGAGGGCAAGGACGTCATTTGTCAGCCAAGATGGTGTCAACTTGAATAGACAGCAAGATGGCATCATGGGAGGAACCTACAGAGTGGCAGGGAATCTATGGCTTACTATACTGAATGGCGAGCGGTGGTTCAGGCAGACCAGCGATTTGGCTGTGACACTGTCAGGTGTGTGCCTGTGTGCTTTCTGGACCACATTCCTCTATCATCTCCTATGACATACAATACCATCAGAGTGATCCAATAGCCACAGTAAAAGCCCCAGACAGTACATACTGTAAAAGCATACATTTAGCAGATGAGTTAAAGCAGTACTCATGTGACATATTTGTGTGTTGGAGGCATGTGACTCATTTTAAGACAGGAAGGAGAGCAGTGCTCATCAGGACAAGAGTGTGCTGCTTTATTAGAGTTTTGACAATGTTTCCTTAGTAACCATTTTCAATTGTTTTGTTTGTGGAAAATAAAATGATTATCATGCAGTTCATTTAATTAGTGTTGAATCCAAACAGCAGCTTCCATTGTCTTGGGGATGAGGTGCCAAGAAAGAAGAGTTAAGTGTCTGTTATGCAGAAGAGTGAAGTGTCTGTTATGCAAATGTGTAAGTCCAATAAAAATATTACTAAGCTGAATATATCAGTCATTAGTCATTTTAGTTTATTCATAGTCATATCAGTCATTTTCAATCATGTAGGGCTGTTATAACTGACGGAGAAAAACTCTGAAGGCTGTGCATTTAAAAGCAGGGAGATTCAACCTTAGTTATGGATGTGTGGTAGATCTTATGCCGGAAGCTGTGATCTAATAGGTCAGCTATTAAAGCTTGTTCCCAGCCCTATCAGTGATGTGTTGATGATAACTGCCTCACCGGAGACTGGACATGCAACGACAGCGTGCCGGGCACTTGGACATTTTGTCCAAGGCCAGAGCAATGGAATTTAAGAAGTTATTGATTTAGTCTCTGGCTGTGCAGGTGCTGCTGGTCAATACATCAGATAAGACATTATCAGTTTTAGCCATCGTTGTGGGAGACAGGAAGAGGTTTGGCTTTAAGGGATAAGTTACTAGAGCAATGGAAGACACCTCAAACACACCTTTAGAGTCTTTGTTGGGGCATGCCTCTGTGTGGTGCTGTTGGTACTGTGTTCATAAAGATAACATAATGGGCAATATCCTTTGAGGGATTTTGTTTCTATGGCTGCCAGCAAATATGAGAAATAGGCAATGTTACTCAGCTCTTAACAGTTATTTACAGCGCTGGGTGACTGTTGTGATGATGTGCAGTTTATAGCAGTGAGTGTTGTTGCCTGGAATTCATGGAGCTGTCATTAGTTAAATAAGGAGTTTCACAGTGTAAACAACACCATGTGGAGCTCCTTCAGTTTAAAGTGAAGACTATGTATAATTTGGGGATGGACTAATGATCTCCCTCTTCCTTCTTCTATCTCTGTCCCTTATGTCGTCTGTCTCTGTCTCTACCTGTCTCTTTCTTTAAAGAGGCAGGCCGCCAAAACAAAAACATTGCATACTGTTAGACATGCACTGCAGTAATCTGTTTTCTGCAGTTTATGTGCTAGGGTTTTTTTTGTTTACCATGACCATCATGAGTGATACTCTAAAGAAAAACAGCCTATATATCAGCTTAAGATGACTTCACACTGATTTTCAACTTTGAAAAGGAAATATACATTTTAGATACTATAATCTGCGTCAAAAGTTTGTCAGTGAAATTGTACAATAACGCTGATGCTCCTTCTCTTTGAGAAGTACCCCAAAATAAAATAAAAGGAATTTCCAGCACCAAAACTTTTCAGTTCACAGCAAAATGCTAGCAGTTCTGTCAGGCACTGGTGTTTTGAGCTAAATGCTAATCTCAGTATGCTAACATACTCAGAGTGATGTTGCTTGCCAAAAAGTGAGCCCACAATTATCTGATATCTCATTAGTTACTTATCTTTCTTTGGTAGCCTTTCCCTTACTTGGTGAACTGCTCACCCATTCTTTGTCCCACTGTTCACATCTCTGTGGCCTGTTGTTCACTCACTTGATTCTCCATCTTCATGTTCCTCATTTTTACAACCACTTATTTATCAGTTACTAACATTTATAACTGGCAAAAGGGAGACTTATTGTAAAGTGTATAACACATCATCATTTATTAATGAGTTTCAATAAGGCTCCTTTTACCAGTTATAAATGGTAGTAACTCATTAATAAGATTAATGAGTAGTAAGCATTAACTTGATCTTGCCAAATAGTGAGTCTGCATCAATGTATGAAAATTGTGTTATAACTTGTTTATAATTGTTTATTTATGATTTATAAAGTGTTAAAAACAAATTAATAACCTAATTATAAACCATTTATGAATCTTTTATAAGGGCAGTCTTATTGTAAAGTGGTACCGAAAAATCTAACTGCATCTTAATTCTGTCACGTGTTAAAAAATCTTGAGATTCTATTGATAAAGCTTTTTTTCCCCATTGATTCAACTTATAGAGTGAAGTTTGAAACATTCATTCAAGTGATTTTAAATTATGTGGTGGACAGTCGTCATTTCCATTTGATTGTCTAATGGGTTGGTAACTCGCTGATTGATGTGACCTTGAATTGTCGCACTGTACTGTAGCACATTAGTGGACCCTTGATTAGTATTACAATGCAGACAAAATAGCTCAATTGATTTTGTTCATTAAACTCTCCCTGAACCCTCTGGAATATTTGATTACCATATGTGGATAAAAAAAAAAAAGAAAAAGAAAACTGTAGATATTCTTGTTAGGAAAAAAAGCCTAATATTTGATTTGTACATGTTTCAAAGTCCTGTGGTTTCAAACAAACTGGGACCACGTGTTCATGGCATGTGCACACATACACTATTAATCTTCCACAACTTTAGGGAGCAATTTTAGGCACTGTAATTGTTAGTCAAACAGTTTCATGATGATATCTGTAACTATATAATTTCTTCACTTCTTTTCAAAAGGCTGCTGTAATGTGCAATCCATTAAAGCATCCCATTGACATTCCCCTGAGTTTCTAACACCATTAACAAAAAGGCACTGAAACCAACCACTGAGTGCCTTTCCATGTGATACAAGCATGTGCGTGGTGAAACAAGCACACTTGGTAGACCGTGGTTTTGTACCTCAGTTACACCTCGGTGAGGCTTTTGAGGTCCTGCAGTGACTTCTATGAAAGCCGTTTTAAAGGGAGCAATGCACTGGCTTGAGGAACCATGATGGGTGAGTGTGTTTTTTGTGATTCGGTTTCTATATGAGGATACACCCCCCCCAACTGCTTGCCTCATTTTAGTTCTGAATAACTAGAGGCAAGGGCGCTGCATACCGCCCATCTCAGTTGATACATGAATAGAAAGGATGCCCATGAAACCTTGGCTGGATTTTAGAAACCCAGGGAACAACAACCTCTGCTAATGTGATGAAAAGAAATTAAAAATTAAATCATAAATTTAATGAGCAGCTACTGATGTAATACCTGTATAACACAAGTTCATCCCACATGATGAGGCCCGTCTGCTTTGATCATTATATAATGTTAACACTACATCCTCCTGCGGGCATTTGACCATAGAATAATGCCAGTGTTAACCTAACTTCATGTATCCTTCACGACTTGACTCTTACCACATACTAATACACATTTTTTGCAGATCCACTGGATCTAAAGGTAGAGTAAGTTCTGTTGTTCCTACACAGCCAGGCTGGCTCTGTAAATATGATATAAACAAAGTGGCTCAGACCAAGTAACACAACACTATTCCAGCCAATCAGTGACTGTGGAAAAGGGAAAAGAAGAAGAGAGGAGAGGAGATGGGGTAAAGGGGGCAATGGGAGTGAGATGGTAAATCTGGCACATGCAATATATGGATTTGCAGGGGAAGGAGAAGGAGCAGTCTACCCCTGTATCACCATCAAACGGTGTGGAGTTTCGAATGGTGAACAGTGGCGACATTAAGGTGAGTGCACGCAGGAACGTCTACTGGTGGCGCCATGATGACAGCGTGATGACCGGTATACTAATCTCTAAGGAAAGATGCCTGAGGAACAGCAAAAACTGAAAAGGAAGTGCTATGATCGGAGAAGGGCGAGGAGCAATCAGTGAGGCTTTCCAACGATGGAGACTGCCTGTGGATTTATTTGGTTGGATGCATAATTCAAAATGCTTTGCCAGGTAACGTTACCGTCTCTGTTAGCGTAGCTACAAACCTACAGTCCTCTCTTCTGGAACACAAGTTTAGTAAAAACAATCTAAACAGCTAACTCTCTAGTTTTTACTCCGTTGTGTTTGCTGTGTGTGTGCGTGTTGTTTGTTTGATTGTGTTTTATATTGTAAGGTTTGTTTCACATCTACTTCCATGATGTATGAGACGCTCAAGATTCGCTGCTTTGGCAATGCACGTCCGTGAATTTGTGGGGTGGAGCTTCTGAAGGAGCACTTTAGGGAGCGGCGTATTTGTTTTACTGTTGAGTTCAAATGTCAGTAGTCTTTCTGCAACATTGTGTAGTCCACCTTTAACTTACATTCATCTTATGGAGACCCTAACCCTTCCCCTTCCCAACCTTAAATCTACTTCCTGGGGACGCATTGTTGAGTCCGTACAATGTGACTGTGTAAACTGATTCATGTCCCCACAACATGAGTAATACATGCCCACACACAAACACACTTTATTGATTACAGACATTACTGGCCGCAGGCAGCCCTGGGGGCATGCAGCCTGCAAGTCTATCCAATGGCCCCTAGCCTTGGCTGACCAGAGGGTGAGGCCCACGGTGGTCAGGGATGAATCTCATAAAATATGTGTGTGAATGTAATACTTGAATGTGTGTGAATGAATGATAATACAAGGTGAAATAAGACAGGAATGTTATCAGGATTTCTGGTGCCCTGCAGAACAAGTTCTTTTTACACAGTATCAGCAGTTTCAAATGATACAGGCCCAGGGCCCTGATTCAAAGTCTGAGTACCACTTAGTCTAGAAATGTCATCGGCTAATTAAAAGTACTGAATGTTCTCGGCTCACATTCCTGATGCACCGTGCACAGACTGAGTTCATCTGAGCGCACATGAGCATCCCAGTTCTTACGGGAAGCCTTGAGGGGGAAAAATGTGTCACCGCCCACTTTGAAAAAAGTTATGTCAGAGTAACTCATGAGTGATTTTGTCTACACTGACTAAAAGTTGTGATACTTTTATTGCAAAAAACTGGCTGTGTGTACGGTGGTTAGCTGATAGTAATAAAAAGCCATGAGTGTGTGGGGGAAGGCAACTCACCAGGAGTGAGTTGTTTTTGGACTTAGTGGGAGGCTGTTTACTGGAACCAGTTCAGCAGAGCTGCTCAGGTGTTGTTGTTGTTGTTAAAACTTTTTTTTTTTTTTTAATGATTCAGTATTCCTGTTATTTAAATTTCTATTGAATTTAAATGACATAAATGGCATCGCCACTGTGAAACGGTGTGTAAAGAAGAGGTGCACTGAGCAATCAAAAGAAAAATAAATAAATAAATGAAAATCTAACTCACATGTATGAAAGTGAGAAATTCAGCTCACAATAGGGGGGGTGGGGGGGTGGGGGGGGGTGTCCGTGCTCAGTCACTGGTGCTCTGAGCCAAGTTTTCATCAGTCCTTGTAAAGGTCCAAAAAAGCTCCCGAAGGGACCTTCCCATCTTCCATGTTCCCCTTCAGTCTATCAAGCATAGAATCATAAGATGCCGTCTCCACCATGGCATTCATCCAGTCCTTCAGGTCCAGTGATACAGCAACTTTCCAACGTGTTAAGATAATTCTGGAGGCTGTAACCAATCCTACCATAATAACTTCCCTCTTGCTTCCTTTACAAATTTTCCACAGTCTGCCAAGAAACCCAACCATTTCTCCTGTGTGAAATTTGTTTCCAGATCTCTTTGATATAGCAGTTTCACATTGGAGGATTCACCACCTATAAATGAAATTTATGATTTATGAAATTGTGAAGCAGTACAATGTTCCTGCAGCATATTCAGATAGTCCAGGATGTGATTCTCTGTACTGTTACTGAACCCAGATTTTATACAGTTGCTCATTTGTAAATATTTCCAAAACTTTTGTTTACGGTCAAGATTAAATAAAATCATTAAAAATGTACATTGTATTCTATTATTGCATTACTAATTATATTACTATTTTATGTATAATATACGTATATTCCAAATGTTTTTGGCAAATATGAGTGCTTGGGATCTTTTATGTCTATTTAATGCTAAAAATAAATTTTTCCTCAGTGTTATTATTTAGCATTGCTGGTTAATTGGTATTTTTTCACAGATGATATTTTCACACTTCGTGGCAGGAAAAAAGGCTACAGATGTAATTAACATCAGTGATTTTATTATATTTCCCAGGAAGTCATGCCAGTAACCCAGCATACACAACACCAGTACAATGGAACTTGCAGATCTGAATGGAGTGCAGTGATTAATATTGTTATGCTTTGCCTGCTGTGACATTGAAAAGGCCTAAGAACACCACACACACTGCATTCAGAGCTGCTGATGAAGTTTACATATATTTATATTGCAGCTGAAAGAACCTGGCAAATGAAGATCTGACTGTGTCCAACCACAGTCTCTCTGTGTGTCCTCGCTTGTCATTTGGCTGCTGTGGACCTTCACCTGTCAGCAGCCAGTAATTACATACCAGCCTTCCTGCTGCTGTAAAACTATCTGTACTACCGTTAATAATCAGATTAACTTGGCCTAGCAGCAGACTGGTGGCAATGTGCCTTTTAATGTCACCACCACTCTGTTCTTACCTGTGCATTCACATGAAACCATAGCAGAAATGTAACAAGTCCATTTATCTTTAGACGTGTCTGCTGAGCTTCACTATGACCAGCCTGACTTGATAGCACTGCTCTACTGCAGTACTCTGACAGTCCAAGCAGAGGAGTCAAATTCAAAGAGTGCTGTATATCAGATCACTATTTAGTGGACCTTTTGTATTTATACTTTTTGTATGGATCCCTACAAATCCATCTACCCACACAACCATTTTCTCTAATTAGACCCAGAACTGTGTGCATGCTGTATGTGTGTGCTTGATTGACATCACTCTGAGTGCCTTATTTGGTTTGTTGCACCTGTGTGAAGTGAAAGGTACACCTTTGTAATCCCAGCATAGCTCCACCCAGCTATAACCTGAGCAGAGGTCAATCAGTGGAAACACCTGCATGGGCTTAAAGGACCTTTAATAATGCTGTCGTATATTTAGATAGAGAAGATGATGAGAAGATAGAGAGATGTGCAGAACGACACAGAGCTTTGAAAGATTTAGTTACATGTGTAGTGATCTAACATGTTAAAGCTGCTCTAATCAATATTTTAGATTAAATGTTCCATATTTTCTTCTTCTCCTGTGTTTTATTTGAAGTGTTGATCCATAAGAAGATATATTTGTGGTTTTAAGAACCAAAAACCATCTCAGTGTAGTTTTACATCTCCTCTCTCAGGCTTCTCTCTGGAGCTCTAGTAACAACAGGTTGGTGAGCCAATCAGAAGAGAGGAGGCTCTGCACCTCTCTTCTGATTCGCTGACTGTTTTCTTAGTGATCCAATAAAAATATAGCAAATTTCAGGTAAACACTCAGAACACAAAGTTGGATGGTGGCTCCAGGTGGGTGGGGCTTGCTTTGTTGTGACATCACAAAGTTCCAGAAGTCCTGACGGCTGGTTTTAAGGCTCAGTTTCTGAATACAGGCTGTGTGCATTTCTCTGTGGACTGAGGCTTTGATACTTTCACAGTATTAATATAGAACCTAGACCTGATCTATAATCAAACTACACATGACCATCTACCTTTAGACTATATGGAGCTTTAATAATGGCTCAGATAACTATGTGTAATCTGAAGATGGACACTTGTAAAGGCAAACTCACACATAATTATCACCTTACAAAGCTCTATGAAATTCTACGAGGGTAAACAGTATGTTTTAGAGTCATTGTTCATCAGCTGCATTTCCAAAAACAGAGCTAAAAGGAGAATGTATGGTGGATTTACATTATTCAGTTGGACAGAAACACAACATAGAAATGCTGCTGGATGTGTGAATGTGTGCTTAAAAGTTCACCCTAACTTAAATGGTGACAATATGTCAGTGATTTTTTTACAACTTGTTTCCTAACTAAAGTGGCCAAAAAAAATTAAAATAAAAATATCAGATAAAGCTCGTTTGAAAGTCACATACTACATTTTTTGACTTAAATGCATTTTAAGGTAATGAAATGAAATCTGTTCAGCGCACAGTCCTTCAATCTCAGATCTAATCAATCACTAATCAGTTGCTTCTTGGAAAACGTATGGAACAGCATTAGCTGACAGTAACTCCTAGAAATGTGATTGAGTTCTGCCATATCATGTGGGTCGAAACATTAGCTAACCTGCAAAAAGTTCACCACTTGAAGTTGAGCTGTTCTTATGCTTTTGCTGTAAAATGACTGTACTCTGAAACAGTCCATTTACAGCCAGAAAAGTTTTATTGTCCTTGGTTGATAGCGTAGCGATCGATGTGACCTTGAATGCTGGTATTACAGTTTATTGCATGGTGAGTGTAGGATGGTTGCTCGCATGCCCTGAATAATGAATATTTTTTCCAGATCATAATTGTGTCTATATTTTGAGCATTAGAGGTTGTTTTTTAGGTGTTTTTTTTTTTTTTACTATGGGTGAAGTGTGTGTCCAGTTTATGTTGAGGCCAGATAATGGACTTTGCTTTGAAGTAAAATAATCTCCACATACAGTACAGTCATTCTGTCCAGTAATGTGGCAATAAAATCAAATCCAAAAGGAGTTTAAATCGAAAAAACAACTGGACTTGATTATTTGTCTGGGAAGACGTTTCACCTCTCATCCAAGAGGCTTCATCAGTTCATGTACGCATCTGACCAGGCTGGGACTGGTCCAACTTAAAATCGAACCTTAAAAATAAACTTTAGCGAAACAGCTGAAATCTACCCCTGATTCAGATTCTTTCATGTGCACCAGTTTCCACTGCATTCCCAGCCTGTGTGCAGAAAAGGCTGCTCAGATTGTGTATCAGGAAAAACTGTTTGGAGTTTCACCAGAGCAGTTTCTCTGTGGTGGGCCAGTGGTAGGCAAAGCCCAGTCAGCTGTGCTTACACCACTGATGCTGAGTGAACTGTCTTGAACCATTTTGTTGCAAAATGCTGTGTTGTGATAACTGCCACACACCGAGATTATTGACGGCTTTTGTGATGGATGGTGAAACTGTTGTACAACATGGTTCAATATTTATATTCACTCTCTTTATTGTATTTTATCATCTTATTTAAATCTGTGTTTCCGGCACTCTGCTGTTCTCCATCTCTGCCTTCTGAATCGTTGTTTCCTACATGAAGATAAAGCTGGTTACACTTTATGTGAACTCCGCAATCACACACTATGCTGACGGACAAAATATTTTTCCTACCAGCCACAGCGCATGGCCCATGGTACATAACTGTGCAGTGTAGCACCTTGCTGATGACTTTACAACTCAACGATACGTTTTATGCTAACAATGAACTCACACAGTTTATCTGCTATGTGAGAAAACATTGTCCTGAAATCGATTATAAAACTGTATTACTATTGTCTGCTACACTGATAAATGACACCTTGTGACTGTTAGTAATAATCAATTCATAAATAAAACCATAAAAGATGTAGTTAAAGTCTCCCTTTGATCTGAGAGTCCTGTACATGAAGTCTACCAGAGCTCCTTGACCTCATAAATGCAGAAAGGGCAGTGTCCAGGTACGGCAGTGTTGGTGGTGGTGGTGGGAGGAGCAGATAGTTTGGTTAGACTCCTGAGGTCAGAGAACTATATGTGGCGTCATTTCTTACTGTTGTAAGACCCTATATGATCATTTTTACCTGAGCCCTACACAAAACTCTATTTCAAAATCTATGAATTAGTCCTGGTTTTTCATTCAAACGTTCAGCAGGTTTTTACCAGCAGCTGAATTATCCACAGAGGTGTCCTCCTCTCTTCAGTGACACAGGACAGGACGTCTCCAGCAGCTGGGAGCTGAGCTGTCTAACATTTCCTCAGCTTGTTTCTCTGATAACTTCAGATCCAGACGTCCGACGACTAAAATCCTTCATCTGGTTCAAATATAGAGCTGAAAACCACCAAGGTGGAAAAGGTGTATGTGGCTTAAAACTAGATAAAAGTCAATGTTGAGCTTCTGTCAGACAAACACACTGACACATGATCATAGAGGAGATGATGTCAACGGTTTGGGAATTGATGGAAACATTTGTGATAATGTAAGAACACAATTCAAAAACACATAGAACATAGGTCGAGTTGTTTGTAGACCTTTTAATGTGGAAAAGTTACAGATTATAACTTTAAGGATTATAATAAAATATAAATGATTATTTATACCTGACCCCTACACCAGAGTCCATTTCAAAATCTATGAATGAGTTGTTCTTTTCCATTCAAAAACAACTTAGAAAAAAACATATTATATAAACCTTTTTTTCACACAAATTTAAAAAAGCTTTAAAATGTCTTAACAAAATTGAACCAAGAGCTACCAGGATTATGTTGTGCTAGTTATTTAGTTGTAGTGTGACGTCATAAACTTCCTGTTCTAAAGGACATCAGATGTGAAAGCAAGAATCTGTTTGCTACAGGAAGCCATTTTCTTTTAGCACATTTACGGGAAATGAGTGAATCTTCTCATCTATCATGCAGGACACATGCACAAGCAGCAATATCTGAGCTGGATATCAGATGTACTGACGAGAATGACATATCAGTCACTATGAATAACATTGAATTCAGGCTCTTTATATGAATCCTGTGCAATCTACAAGTAAATGATGAAACTGGAGGTCAAAAAATGACAAAACTGCACTTTAAAAATAACAATTTTTTATTTACAAATATTATATTAAAGTCTTAAATACTGAAGGATAACAAATATTTGAAATGCTACATTAAACATTTGAAGTTTAAATGTTCAAATTTTACAATAAATCCAAAAGCCTCTCATGTATATCATAAAAAATATAAAAATAACATTCAGAACCACCCAGAGTTAAGTCAGAGCAGACAGTGGCAGGTGGTGAGTCTGAACAATAAATTGAAAACATCATAAAATAAACATCACATGCCCAGAAACAGCAGGTTCATAATAATATGTGCAAGACTTCTCTTCATATTCTCCAGCGTGAAAGTCATTGACAACGTTAACTATAGTGCTCAATATATTATCCAGTACAAGTGAATCATCAACATACCACAACCTGAGAAGTGATGAACAATTACAAGTGTATTACAGATACATTATTGCATAAAGATACAAATTAAACTTGATGATATTAAAGATGCGTTGCTTTAACAGCCTCCTTTGTGTCCTCGTCTCTCGACATGGCTGGGTTATCGTACATCTCCAGACTCTTCACGCTGTTCTTTCTGATCTTTTCATCCTCATCCTTTTTGCAGCACTTGCAGCACCTGCAGCAGCAGCAGCAGTGTTTGCCACAGAAGCCCAAAGTCGAAGACACCACAGCGTCCCACGGCGCCAGGGAGCGCAGGGGCCTGGGCAAAAAGTCCCAGTTGCGCAGGACACTGGGCAGGCGGCGGGGGCATCGAGACTGCATCACATTGACGATGACCACAAAGATGACCAACGCAATGATGGGCACGCCGACGCCAACCAGGACTTGCCAACCAGCCAGCGACAGGCCGAACACAGACAGGGGGAAAACCAAGAAGCACAGGAAGAGGTAGAGGGCGGCAAACCAACGGTATTTTGCAGTATGGTTCCCCAGCCCCCTGGCCAGCCTGATGGGCACTCGCATGAAGGGGATTGGATACCACAGTAAAATACCCATGATGTTAAAGAAGAAATGGCAAAGGGCAATCTAGAAGAAAAAACAAAGAAATGACATTCATACAAGGTTATCTCTGTCAGATCCCAAAGAAAACTAAAAGCTAAATGCTAATGTCAGCATGCTAACATGCTCTCAATGCTAGCATGTTGACGTTTGGCAGGTATGTTGTTTACTATGTTCTCCATTGCAGTTTAGTGAACTAGAATCCGGTCAAAGTTAAAATTTTAATGGTTTATACAGGTTTATGATTATGATTATTCTCTCATCTGCCACACAACTGAATAGCAGTTATTACAGTTCATCCTCTTAGGACCATGGACCATCTGTACCTAGTTCAATGGCAGTCCATTAAATAGGAGTTGTGATATTTCACTAAAAAACAAAAATGTGAACTTCACAGTTGAGCTAAAAGAACAGTGAGGGGATCACAAAAGTCAGCCTCTGCGGAACATGAATGTCTGAGCCAAATTTCATTGCTGTCATTTCAGTACTTTTTGAGATATTAGAGTCTGGATCAACAGTCACGCTGCTAGCCTGGGTAAAGACAAGCACACAAGAAAATAATTTCACTGTGTCTCACCTGCAGGGAGTTTGCCAGGGTTTCTCCAGGGCTAGCCATAGCAGCAAGTATAGCTGTGGTTGTTGTACCAATATTTGAGCCCAGGGTCAGAGGATAGGCTCTCTCGAGGCTAATGACACCAATACCTGTTGATAGAGGATTGACAAGGTACAAATCCTGGAATCATTCAAAAATAATTGAAGAAATATAGATAAATCATTATAAATAAATGACAACTTACCAACAAGAGGAGTTATAGCCGAGGTGAAAACAGAACTGCTCTGAACAATGAAGGTCATCCCTGCTCCCACCATAATTGCAATATAGCCAGTAACCCAAGTGAAGGGGAAGGGGAAATCTGCAGTCAAACAGAAACACAGGAGGTGAGCAATAAACCTGATGAAGTGAGCACAGTGTGACTGCACACATTACGACCACATGACCAGAGCAAACGAGGACTTTTCATCAAAACAGTGTTTGTGCCTGAGCTTTCTCCGTCACACAGCAGGACCTGCACCTGGAGGTGAGCCAGAAGCACCAGGGAGGCTCTGCCTGTGCTGCTCATCGAGCATCACCATCGAAGCAGATGTGCCGACTATCAAACAGGCTGAAATGGTGCGTGCTGAGGAGAGTCTCTTTTCTTTCTGTACCTGTGTTGAGCACCTTCTTGATGACCACGGCCACCTGTCCCTGCAGCATGGAGTTGAGCAGCTTGACGATGAGGATGAGGCAGGTGCAGAGGACGAGCAAAGACAGAGCCAGGAGAATGAGGCCCACTGCCAGGTCCGGCAAATTAGCATTGGCGAAGACATGTTTGCCTGCAACAGACGGTCAAAGAGATGATTGGCATTTCAGTGTCAACTTTTAATGCATGCATTATGTGAGAGCTAGAAATAGCATCGTGTGCATGACTTTAACTAAAGCATTTACTTTATTGGGGGCAGGATACTTTGAAGAGCATGTTATGGTCAGCATGAATTCAGCGTGAAGACAGCATGAATAGACCTGTTGAGCAGGTGGACAGGTCGGGCGGGTGGGGGCTGGGGGTTATTAGCTGAGTCACTATAACGTCTCAAAGGTAGTCATTGTCGGGACATCAGAGGGTCTGCATGAAGGACGCTGTTGTGGTGGAGCGGCTCTCTCATGTTTCACTGAGCTTCAGTAGCTCAGGTAATCCTAATTGCTTTGTAAATGCTCTTTTTTTCCTCCAACCTGTACTCACTGATGGAGGCACACTTACATTTCTCTTGGTAATCAGTCCATGTCGTGTTCATCTCGGTCCAGGTCAGGTTTCCTTCTTCCCAGCAGACAGCGCCGGCAGTGCAGTTCTCCACTGTCACATTCCAGAAAGTCTGAGAGAAACGACACAAAAACAGGGGCAGAAGTCAATAATCAAGAAGTGATTTCACCTTCAGAGTATGAGCCAACAGAATCACTGTGGTCACAATACAAGAAGGAAAATATCAGTCAGTAACACAAAAAGCAGAGGTAACCATAGCTTTATCATGTGGTTTTGCTGTTATTGTGTTGTGTTCACTGTGGCAAACTAATAATTTAATGCATGTGATGCAGCTTGTTGTTGATTTCTCACCGTGTTGGTCTCTGTTTTGCACCACACTTTGATCAGACTCTTGTTTCTGGCTGCTGGGTCACCGGTGGCGATGCCGGTGATCACAGATTTGTCCAGCTAACAGAAGACACGTGTGTTTAAAAAAAAAAGACATTTCTTTCTCAATGTTAATGTTGCCTCCGAATGTCACCGTCTCTACCTGGACGATGGAGTTTGTGAGAGGGTCTGTGATGACGTTGAGCAGGTCAGGGGCGTCCTCGCCGCTCTCGATGTTGAAGGATTCGATGATGAGGAGGGTGAGTTTGTACAGGACGCCTGTGGCCACTTCCAGGGGCAGGAGAACCAGCACAGAGAGCCAGTTGAAGAAGTCGTGGACCGTCGCACCAGCAAACGCCCTGGAAGTGAAGGAACACACTCCTGAGCATGCACCGCACACTATACATGTGTCACAGGACGTAAATGATTACACACTCTGATTTACCTGCGGAACTCATTTCGATCTCCTGCCTGCATCATGGCCACGATAGTGTTGGTGACCGATGTTCCAATGTTGGCTCCCATGATGATCGGCACCGCAGACTGGACCTCCAGCACTGAAAACAATAAGTAGCATCATACTGTATCAATGTGTCACACGCTGTAGCAGTGACTCCCAACCAGGACTAATTCTACAGCTGTCAGCAGGAACGCGGAAAAACTGTGAGTGAACTCTGATTTGGAAAAAAAATAAAATTACAATTCAACAATAAATAAATAAATAAAGATTCTCAGACAGCTACAACAACTGAACACACGCTGCAATTAATAACAGGTAATAAACTATAAGCAAGACATTAGACTCATCTAAAAGCAAGTAATGGATAACTGGTTAAAACAAGGCTAAAAGTCAAGGATACATTGTTCAACACGCAGAGTCTCTGCCTCTGATAGAAGAATGCAACATTAACCAAACTGTTCTAAACACTGACTATTGTAAAAAAAAATGTTTTCAACAATATCCAATATAAATATGAATAATATCCTGTATATTATTTACAAAGGAACATCTGGATGATGACAGGTTGGTGCAATGAATACTTGAGTTCATCTGGTCTGTGGGGAAACGTCTGTGAGAAGAGGTTGGGAACCACTGCACTACAGAGTGCACAGGTGGATCATTTGTGTGTATTTAAGCATGAGTGTATGCATGCATCTTCCATTTAATGGTATGTGTGTGTGTGTGTGTGTGTGTGTGTGTGTGTGTGTGTGTGTGTGTCTACTTACATCCAGAGGACACCATGCTGACCACAATAGAGGAGGAGGTGCTGGAGCTCTGCACCAGCACTGTGACTAACACCCCGATCACCAGCCCGGCCACAGGGTTGGACAACACAACATTGTCCTGGAAGATGTCACCAGCAGCTTTGCCTGCACACACAGACAAACAAGCCTCAGGTTGAAAACACTGCATACACATTACATAAGCAGCACTTTGTTGGACCCAGCATTGCAAAGTAAATACACTACATGTGCAGCGAGTTCTGTGAACTGATTTTACCTCCGACCAGCTGGAACGCAGAGCTGAGGACGTCCAGAGAGCAGATAAACAGGTAGAGGAGTCCAAGCAGCATAACCAGCTTCACTATAGCTGTCACCACCCTCATGATCTTCCCTTTTGTATCCAGCTCTGTAAGAACAAACACAAAGTACTGAATCAGAGTCCGACTGTGTAGAGGCCTCCACACTGTGCTGTAAGAATGACAAGCTGCCTCACCTGACCACTTGACCCCAGTGTCTTTGAGCTCGGGGAGATCCCAGGGATTCTCCTCTGGATCCTCATTCACCAGGTCCACGGTGGAGTAAGATGGCAGGATGTCCCTAGCTGGAGCTTTGTCATCTAATGGAGGGCAGTGAGGAGGGAGTGTTAGGAAAAGGTGGCAAAAACACAGTCTGAAGAGATTCACAGTATCCAAGGGAACAGGACATACTGAGAGCAGGGGAGGAGTCAGTCCCCACTTCTGGTCTTGGAGCCATGGCTGCATGGACAACAGAAAAAAAAGTTTCAATTAAAACAAGATATAATTAATATTAATTAGCCTACATACAGTTAATGTTTTTAAAAGTTTGAATAATGGAGCAAAGCTGAAGTGTCACCTGTGCAAAACCTTAAAAAATAAACTGATTCTTTCACAATAGCCAATACTATGATATGCTATAATGCATTATATTATGGTATGTAATATCTGTTTAATATCTGTATAACCGTCAGGATAACACTGTAAAATTCAATACTGACAATAGCCTCAACTTTACCATGTTTAGACTTGCATTGAAAAAAGAGAAGTACAACCAGACCGCTTCAAGATCATCTGAACATTAATACATCCAGATAGAAATACTAAACACAGCTGCATCTCACACACAGTCCTCCGGGATCTGTAAGTAACTGAACTCTTTACCTCGACTATAACAGTCAGGGTGCAGTCCGTGACCGTGTTCTACCTGAGAGCAGCCGTGATGGTGGTAAACGCACCTGCTTGTCCGGAGCTCTGAGCGGTGAGTGTGAGTGGGAGGCTTCACCTGGGTTACCTGTTGCTCTCTCCGAGGCTGAGCGCAGCTTTTATAGCGCCGCGCCGCTCAGCGCCGCGCACACACACTCAGCGCTCAGTTCAAGGGTCGCGCACACATGTGCAGAGTACAAGTGGCGGGAGGGTGCATCTGTATGTGGGCCACGCTGCTCGACACAACCCAACATCTGCGGTCAGATGATTATCCAAAGTTATGAGAGGAGGCTGCACAGAGCTGACACTGACACTGACACTGACCCTGACACTTAACTTCTCTCTTTCTTTTCTAATACATTTTTATATACTATATTACTATATATTTTATATATTATGTCAAATTATATATCATATAATTATATCATATTATAATATATATTATACTATATTTTATACTACTGGCATATTTGTGCAATCTGGACACTGAGCCAGCATCTGTCCGCAGGCTTTAGTCTGAGCCGCGGGTGGAGCCCGAGGTACAGGTAATAGACAACTCCATCAAACATCAGTGAAAGCCAACAAACCGCCCCCTGGTGGCTGTGCGTGAAACACAAAGCTGCATTTCTTCTGAACTCTACCCAGTGGTAATACAGAAGTCCGATACTCTGTGGCACAAAGTAACACAGGTGTACTGCTGTTGTCATGTTTCTGTATTTTTAATGTGTCTTTTCTGAAACACTGGATAGTTTGATCTGTTCAGGACTCTAGAAACACTTCAAACTGAACAACATAAGAAGGAAACCAACACTGATAACATGACAAAGACTATAATCTGTAATGAAGGGTCACAAATAGACTTTACTTCATTGTTTTTATTCTTATTATCCTTATTAGAAGTTGGGTCCCACATGTCCACATCATATTAGTCTTCTGTTGCTCTTTGCAAGTTGTTGCACTGTGCTGTTAAATGTTACATTAAAATATACTATATAATTTGATTTGATGTATTTATTTTTATTATGTAACATTTGTGGACTCTGGTTATGTGTCAGACGGGTGCAGTTGCTGCTTCATGCAGTTCAATTCTTCCAGGTTCGGCCAACAGTGAGAGATCACAACTGTTCCTGAGGTATAAACACAGCTTGAAGCAGGAGGTGTAATGTATACCTCAAGTTGTATACGTAATCTGTATCCACTATCTTTGCACATGCTCCACCATGCATGTGTATACACATACTGTCATTGTCTCTCTCTCTCTCTCTGTCTCTCACACACACACACACAGGTTTATAGCTCCTTAGATAACACATGCACTCACACACGCGTGTCCATGCACACATTTATTGCTTATTAGTCCAGGTTTATAGCGAGAGATATGGCTGAGATATGACTGTAACAACTGTGCATATTACATCTAAAATCAATGGTGTGAATATGAGTGAATGATTAAGCCAGAATCATGTTGCAGTTACTCCCAAACTGCAGTAAAACAATCACAACAGATTTAATGCTGCACTTAAAAAAAAGGGTTCACTGGGTTGATGGCAAAGGATCAACTCTGAAGTCTTACAGCAGATCCTAGCTTGGTGAAATGTTTGAAATCTATGACGATAGATGATGATTATTATTACGGTACATATCTGTATGGACTACATGCTTCATTTGGCTGTTTAGCTGCTGGAGCTGTGGCTGACTTGTTGGTAAATGTCGGACTCACATGAGGGTTTCAGAAAGATGCACTTTGCTGATTTTGTTTTGCTCTGAAATTGAACTCTAATGACTTCAGCCTCTGACAACTCAAGAGTCCCCCAGTGATTCATGATTCATTCTGCTTTGGTCACCAGAGTTAGTTCTATGTGTTCCTCGCTCCCCAGAGTTCGATCCCTCGAGACGTTCTAAAAAGATTTTTTTAGGCCCATAACTGCACATGTCTAAAAGGCCTGTCATCCTCCTCTTCTACAACTTTTATCACTTTACGACCAAAGCGCACAAGTAAAAAAACATACCACTACATTCCTTAGTAACAGCTACCATAAATAAAATCAGTGAAAAAGTAATAGAACTTCTTTTTCCCTCTAGGACTTGTAACCTGGTATTCTAAAGTGATCCTGTATATTGACTGGCCTCATAACCAGCGATCATTGCACTGTAACACTCAACTGCTACACAACCAATAATGATTGCAGCTGCAGGTATATCAGGTACAGAGTGCTCAGCAAAACACCCCTACATAAGACATTAAAATACACACTATAACAAAATAAAACAGAAACAAAACAAACAGAAAACTTTACATTTGTTGGCTGGAACACAAACTGCTGAAACATTCTGCTCCCAATACACACGCAGTAAATCTTACCTATCAACACACCTTAAATCAATTACAATAATTCACTGCATTATCATAGAGTGTGTGAACCTTCACAAGAAAGAAACCCCAAGGTAAACATCTACAAAATAGCTCACATTTACTGAACACATACATTTACTGAACATACACATAAATATAGACATTTACTTAACCATAGACATTAACTTCATTAATTACAACTGAACCAACAGAAAACTGCTAATAGGACAACTTTCTACATTTGAAAATGAATTAACTCAAAGTCAACTTCTTTTCTTTTTTTGCACATTCTACATACATTTGTTTCCATCAAAAGGCAATATCACAACACAGAAAATATTGGTCATTTATATTAATTTTACAAAGACACTGAAGCTGTTGATGTGGTAAAATTCACAGCAAGAAAACTTGATGTAATTAATACTTTAATGAAATAATAATTTACATACGGTACCAGTTTTTTGCACATTCTGAGAACTAAAAGTAAAAACATTTAAGATTTTCAAAACAATTTTACTTATATATATATATATATATATATATATATAATTGTAATAGATATATAACAATTTTACATATATATATAATATATGATATTATATAAGTTAAAATGTTTTGAAAAATCTAAATGTTTATATATATATATATATATATATATATATAATAATATATGTATATATATATATATATATATATATACACACACACCCACATATACATAAAATAAATAAATAATAAATGAACTGGTACTGTATGTAAATTAATTTTATCAAGTTTTTCTGCTGTGAATTTCACCACGTCAACAGCTTAAAAGTCTTTTAAAAATGAACATAAATGACAAATATTTTCTGTGATGTGATGTTGCCTTTTGATGGAAACGAATCACTATAAAATTTTAATTATTTCTTCAAATATTGTTTGATTGCATTTCATCAGGAGTAATTATTAGCTGCAAATTGTTTTGCAGATAACAGACATAAAAGTCAGCTGCAGCACATAAAGGAGTATTGATAAAATTTCTATTTATCTACTTAGTTACTGATAATTGGCTGTTAGCGCCGGCGCCCACAGGCTTAGCTCCTGTGCAGTTATGACCAGTTATATTATATGTGATAGGATTTTGATTGGCTCAACAATGTATGCAGTTCTGACCTTGACCTCTCCACGGTCTACACTGTGACATGACCTGATCTGTGGAGAAGAGTGTGGCGCACTGTGAAGTATAAAGAAGCATATTAAAGTGGCTTTACTTTACAATTCACCTAGTTATTTATTGACTAGCCCATTAGGTTTGATGCAATGGTTTTTACCCATGTGATCCCAGGAGACCCACATACGATGGAAAAATCAGCTGAGACATACCTTTAACCTTTGGAATGCTGTTTTCATTGCCCCTCCACCCACACACTAATCAAAACACTTTGTAGTCAAGCCTGTAACTATGTAGTAGTTTTATTCCTCAGCAACTTTGTCAATCTGTCTGCCTCACAGTTGTATCTCCTGTCCCCTCCCCGTATGGAGCAGCACACAGTCATAATATCAGAACATCAGCCTCATAATATCCATCTTAAATGTAAACTATTGTTTTCTTTATGCGATTTGTTATGATACCGCAGTCAATCATTGCCTGCCGGGCCACTGAGTTGATGCTGCCTAACTGCCATGCTGGCATAGTCCACGGAGGGTCAAACTGTTTGCCCTCCTTCTACTGTCGGGGGCCACCCTGTAGTACTACGCCGTGAGTAGGCTGTGCTGTAATCCATAAAACAATAAAACTCAGCTGTTCCAACTCATGCAGGAGAGAGAGAGAGAGAGAGAGAGAGAGAGAGAGAGAGAGAGAGAGCGAGCAGCTACAGAATCAAAGCTGCATGCGAAGTAACGCTAAAATAATGTGAACTCTGTGTCTTTTGATCCTGAAGACAGTTTAAAACTAAAGACTGAAACAACACTAACATCATCTTTTCAACTGCCTGTTATAAGAAAAGATTGTGTGCACTTGCGGCAGTAATGATATCATTATCCACCCTGACCTTTAGCAGCATGGAAAGCCCCTTTGGTTTAGGATCCACGGTAAATGTTGAGATAATGGGAAAACACTCCTCACACACAACTACATGTCATTTTTTTTTTGAGTGGAACATAATACATAATGCATGTTGTTGGTGTCTTCTAATATATAATATTCCTGTGGGGTTGAGTGAGACCCTGCTGCCTCCACATGGTCACAACTGTAGGCTGAGGTGCATTATTTTAAAATCAACTTCCAAAATACATATGGCTGATGGAGGACAGAAAATACCACCTGGAGCAATGCCTCTCGCTGTGTAATGCTCTGTAGCTTACACACAGTTTATTGTGCACTGAAGCACAAAGGTTTTGCTGAGAGTCAGTCAGGGTGTCGTGACCCACCTGAGACACTGAACTGCCAAGGAAATAATTATTAACAATTTAAGAATTCAACCATTCTTACATAAGAAAGGAAAAGACTGCAGTTCAACCAGCAGCCCCCTGATAACACACAGCTTACAGTGTTTTAATGAAATTGATTATTGCGCTTCCTCAGTGACACAATAACAAAATAAAACTAGAATCACCTCCTCCTCCTCCACTCTGACTAGTTTCAGGTTACATCCCTGTTCATCCAGAGTCATAGGAAATATGAACTGTTTGTGTGAAATTTTGTCGTAATTTGTGTGTGAAGTCTTGAAGTTTTGTGAGGTCACACTGACTTTAACCTTTGACCACCAAAATCTAATCAGTTTATCCTCAAGTCCAAGTGAATGTTTGTGCCACATTTGAAGAATTTCCCTCAAGGCTTTTCGGAGATATCTCATTCACAAGGCCAAAACTGCATTTTGTGAGCTCACCACGACCTTAACCTTTGACCTTTGACCACCAAAATCTAGTCAGTTCATCCATGATTAGTTTCCTCGGTATAGACTGATATACACTTTGTCCCAATTCAGGGGCCACAACCTCCGGTCTATGGAGGTGTGGCTCTTTGTGGTCGTCGTGGTCCATGAAGGCCGAACCAAAATTAGACATCTGGTCCAAGGAGAATTTTCGGCGCGCGTCACCAGCTGTACCTGACATTACCTCTGCGTCCCAAAGCACGGCTCCTGTCTCCCAGCAACCGTGACAACACAAAACTTTTTTAACAGACGGCAGGGCTGAAAGAGTTTTTTCTTTAAGTCGAACTGAAACTGTAAAAGTGACCACTGAGAATGAGACACATTAAACTGATTAAAGAGGGGCAGCTTTTGTAAAGTTGTATTTCACATGGTCAGGAGGTCGGAGGTTGTGTCTTGTCTAGTGCCAGTATTAGAGACCAGTGCACTGAGTGGAGCTGCTGTGGTGCAGCCAGGTCTGAGCAGGTTCACACCTCCACCAGCAGGTGGAGACAGATACACGTCCAAAGGTTTGTGTTTGTCTGAAGCAGCAGCAGAACTTTACTCATCAAGAGACCTAGGTTAGTCCACCCTAAAGAAACCAGATCTCTCATTGACTGTTTCGTTTAAACACCAATGTCTTCATTTGTCATGACGTGAAACCATTCGGTTTTTGTTTTTACTTTTACATTGAGAGGAATTAGAACAGCTCTCACCTGGATGTGATGAGAGTCTCATTGTCGCAGATGCATTTGAATAAATCAGACATACATTAGACTGGATACATTTCTCTGCAGGGGCTGTTCTCAGCAAACACACCACTCACGCACTACAGTGAACTAACATTTCAACACCTTGTGGGCAGTGGTCACTCTAAATGTAAATGTAGACCCTTTCAGACATGACAGATTCAAACTTAGTTTTCAGCTTGCGCCTCGTGTGCTGTCATATATGATCTATACTAAAAATAGCTGCCTGTGGTCACAGACTGGATGTGTATTAACGCTGCTGTTATCTGATGCAGCAGACTGCGGCCGAGGCTGAGCATCAAGGTAAACTATCGCCGCCATTTATCTGATGTGAAATGCTGCTTTCCAGCTCGGCTCCCACCTGCGTGTATCAAACAGTATGTTCACTGGCGCCGACACTTGGCCGACCTTGGTGATGATTGATAGGAAATACTGATTCATAAGTCGTCCACATGCACGCAGTGATGGGCAGCCATTCCTCAGCCTCCTTATCACACAGCAGGAAGGAAGAAATATGAAGTGGTGCTGTGCGTTTTTACACAGAGGGAGAGTCTGTCTTCACTTTTCTCTCAGGTTTTATGAGACATGAAAAATGCAGATTTAGGTGACAGTGATTAAAATGCAAGTCCAAAAAGCCACACGTTTTTTTTCTACTGATGAAAGGTTTTAAAAACACTGTATACTTTTATTCTTCTTATTCTAATGTTTTTCAGTGATGACTGACATGTTGGTCCGTGTCTGACCCTGATGTTCAGCTTAAAAATGAACGGGACTCGGGACATCATTATCTTTTGGACTCGATCAGACGGTGTCCAGCAGATCCTCAGTAATGCAGCATGACCTGAGGAGATAACATGACTGGTTGGTGGCTGACACAACTGTGGCGTCGCTGTAGGTCAAATAAAGCAGGTGCATAATGAACTTACGTCACTGAGCCAGTCGGTGAAGGCAGAGGTACGGGTGAAGACGGTGGGCTTCTTGACCTCGTTGCAGACGCGGGAGGAAACGAAGCTGGTCACACCCTGGACGTACCACTTACCATCCTGACCCCTGCAGTTCAGAGGACCACCAGAGTCTCCCTGAGAGAGAGAGAGAGAGAGAGAGAGAGAGAGAGAGAGAGAGAGAGAGTATGAAGTAGATGACCTTGTTCACATCAGTGCGAGTTGTTTTCCTCTTGGTGCCTCACTCACGTTGCATCCGGCTACGACGTCTCCTCCTGCACAGATCATGGTGGTCTTGACGTTGATGCCCCACCAGTCGCTGCGGCTGCACACGCTGTACCCCACCACGGGCAGCAGGGCCTGCTGCAGCTTGTCAGGCATAGGTCCATGAGCTGACACACAGAGAGGACAGAGCTGAGCAACAGCACATGTATCTGCACTGATACTGTGTGCAGCAGGCAGACAGAAGTGTCGGGAACAAGACTTGAAAACTGTGATCAATTACTAATTCCTCATTGAAAAAGTATTCCACTAATTACTCAGTAGCAAAAGCTGACTGTAATTTGTTACACCACTCGGTGCTGAATAGGAAATCACATTACTGTAGCATGTTACTAGGTAATCTGTTACTATCCAACACTGGCAGATTGTTAATGTCAAATGTGCCGACCTTTAATGTTACACTGTTAAACTGAGTTAAAGGCAACATTTACACCTGTCCGATCCTAATCCTGTTCATTTTCTATGCAGGTAAAACACTGCAGCGACCTTCAGTGACCGTCAGCGATCTGCAGTGACCTGCGGTGCAAAAGACCGCATGACATGTGAGGACATAGTGACATTACTGTAAAGGTTGCCCCAGCCGGAGATGTAACACGGAGTCCCATGGGTGGGGATCTCTCCAGCCTCTGGAAGACAAGCCACGCTAACGCTGTCGCTCATGACGGGGCTCTTATCCAGTTTGAGCAGGGCCAGATCATTGCTGTGAGAAAATAATTACAGTCATGTTTTCACTTATATCATGAAATGCTGATGGTTGTGAAGGTTACAGTATCTTTTTTGTGGGTTCAGATTTTTTTAGAATGGTATCAAATGATATTTTTTTCTTACACTTTGTAGTACATGACTGTTTTATTTGCTTCTACATTTACTTGATATTGAGGGTCAGTATTTACAGCCGTTGATGAACAAACAGAATTATTTATTCTTGGTGAGGATGCAACAGGGGAAACAAACACAAGGTTATCTATTTATCTGCAAAAGGAAAATATTCATATTTTTATTTTTTATTTCTGCTGGTTCCCAAGGAGACATAAAATATACTCACCCATCACCCACATGGTCAATGTCCCACTTGGGATGAACAATGATACGCAGAACATCTCTGATCTGCTCAGTCCCCTCCTGCTGACTCATGTCGTGCTCTCCCAGCACCACACGATACACGTCTCCCGGCCTGTCAGACAGTTTCTATCATTTAATAACACATTATTATTTCCATTTTCCTCATGCTGCATATTTCCACACTTCTGGATCCCATTTATCTCATATTAGACTTCAACATTGTTTATGTGTGCGTGCTGCAATAAAGCCTTGACCTCTGTCTCTCACTCTCAGTCGTTAACCCCTGAATCACACAGTAGCTATCTTATCTCATTGTTAGTCACCAGATGCAATGTCCAGCAGTCAGCACCCAACGAGGTGCGATCAGAGTTCCTCCACAAGTGTGATGGTAACGGCTGCCATGTTTCACCTGCAGGGAGATCTGAGGAGGGAAGAGAACAGTGAGGACATAATGTGTCCTTGACTGCTTTGAAAGGTGCCTATAAATAAAATGTATTGTTATTTATATTCTCAATAAGAGAAAAGTTCAGTGGATTTAAAACATGCTTACCTGCCAGGGCCAGCTGTGGGGGCGGGCATCCTGTCCATTCACCACCCTGTTGGTGTCAGGCTTTACAGCAGGTGTACCACATCCAAAAACTACAAACACATGATAAAGTTTTCTATAAATGAAATTAATATAGTGTTTAATCTTAACTCCCCTTTCTGTATTGTCATAACTGCTTCTTCCTTATTCTGTCTGATGTCTGCAGCCAAGCCAGACTACTCACCATATGCTGCCTGAAGCAGCAGGAGGACCAGAGCCTGCAGCATGATGTCACTCTATGGAGGAGACACACACACACACACACACACACACACACACATGCATTTAGTCCAGCTCTCTTATACCTCCTCAGTCTGTCTGTCAACCTAAATGCAGATTACATTGAACATCTGTTATCAGCCTCCACAGCTGATTGTAGCTGGGAAAGAACTTCCTGTTCCACAGATGCATCAGCTGCTGTGCCAGGACACCGGGCCGATCTGTCTGCTGGTGCAAAAAATGGCAGGTTTATCAGAAGTGAGAGAGACAAACTCAGCATGTGCAATTTAGACAAGACTGATAAAGACTATTAAATATTTAGAATTAAGGATGAAAAATAGGCTTTGGGACATGAATGATGTACCTCATAATATTGAATTCAAGATAATGAGATTCATAATCAGCAGTGGAAGAAATATTTAGATACTTAAGTAAAAGTAGCACAGTGGGAAAATATGCTGTTAGAAGAAAAACTTCTGCATTCAAAATGTTACTGAAGTAACAGAAAAATATTCTTTACTTGTCAAATATTTCTATTCTTCTTGTGTTGAATAATAAACATTTATCACAATGGCAACTGAGCTCACTGCTCAAAGGTCTTGGGGTTTCCAGATGTCATGAAACTGTAGATGTAAAATTTTCTTCTCACGTCCTTGATGTCTTAACATTACAGATTATTGATTTAATTTGAATATCTGCAATTTCTTGATAACTGGAATAGATAAAAAAGAATAGCCTGGTGGGGAGATTGCTTTGTTAACAACTGTTTGCAAGGTCATCAATGAACTTTCAGTCTCAAGACTTAAAAGTGTTTCAGGATACTTTTTTTCCATGAACATGACGATCCCGTACACCACACGATCAATAGCTTACCCTCTGCCTTAGCATATTCATTAGCTTTTTAGGGTCACAGGGACGGCTGGAGCCAACCCCAGCTGGCATTGGGAGAGGGAGGGGTACACTTTGGACAGGACGATGCTCACATTCACACTTACAGGCAAATTTAGAGTCACAAATGAAGCTGCATGTGGTTGGACTGTGGGACGAAGCCGGAGTTAACCCACACAGGCACGAGGAGAACATGCAGACTCCACACAGAAAGACCCCTGTGGCAGGTTCAAACCCAGAATCTTCTTGCTGTGAGGCAACAGCGTGAACCACTGTACCACAACCTAACTACTGCTGTAATGTAGCTACACCAATTTAGTGCAGTTTGGTACCAGTAACCACATTTCCAGCGGTTAGAAAACATAATTAGACTTCTAACACAGTAACATGAAGTAATGTATTTTACATTTCTGCAGGCAGCACTAGGTAGTTAGCATTAGTGTAGCATTGAACAGATAATGGAAATTACAAATAGAAGGACCCCACCTTACTGCTTACACTCTCACGCACAGTGATCTCTGGGATTCAGTGCAAAAGCAGCAGTGTATCATCAAATACTGTATATTACCTAAACACAGTAAAATAACCTTTGTGTAGCTGCATGAAAACGTGCAGCTGAACATGAAAAAGCCTCCAGCTTGAACAAACAGAAACGGTTCCCAGAGTCAATGTGTTGGGTTTGTGAACGTGAGAGAAGCTGTGGCAGCAAGTTCACAGTGAGTGAGGATGGAAAGCAGAGAGAAAGAGGAGAGGACTGAGGCAGAGGAACTGAGACAAGGGTTTAGTGTCGTCAGCTGTCTTAGTGCTCAGTGTACTGCAAGAAATAAATTTTCTCCCTACGACCACAGAACTGGATAGCTTTGGGTTACCTTCAAGAGAAACAGTCCTGTAACAACTTTCTCTGCTTTAATAACATGTTGTAGATTCACAGAGGGGCCCACGCTCCCACTGAATCTGGACCCAATTGTTCACGCCTCGCTCAGACACTATCCTCTCCTCTGAGGGAAACTAATATCACTCTCCGGAGAAGACGGCGTGCATCTATAAATTTCCCCCTTTTAGGGAGCAAATCAAATCAATATTGCCTCAACAGCTACAAGACTTTGCTTGTTTTCTCGCTGTGTTAAGATAATTCCCTGCACCACTGCGAGAAGATTTATGAAGCAGACATGTGCTGCGTGTTTGCATAACATGGCAATGACAGAAGTGTGAATAATTCTGATGAGGGGCTGCAAAAGTTTCAGCTTGCAGTGAATTAACCACTGATGCTGTTTACGGGAGGCCGCTCAGGTGGGAACTGTCATTTACTATGAGTGAGTGTGTGTAAAACAATAAATCCTATAAAGTTAAACAGTGTGGAAAAGAATGAATAGCAGTTTTAAATCATTTTAATATTAGCGAAGTGCTGTTGTTTAAAAGGTGAATATTGGATTTTACAGCACTTTGACTTTAACACAGAACTTTCAATCACAAAGAGACATCAAAGGAGAAACAACAGAAACACATTAAACAGTTTTTAACATTTTATCAACATTACAATTCTTTGTAAAATGAGTATTTCAGCCTGGACCCACGTGGTGGAGCGACTGACCAACAGACATACTGACATCTATGGAGCCGTGGCTGAAAATGACACGTCAAGTCTACTTTACCTTATCAAAAATGTGATTGCTGGATCATATTAGAGTATATAACATTTAAGAGCATTATATATTTGGATTTTATGATGAAATGGCTGGAAAATATGTATTTTGTTGTAAAATTATATGAGCTGCTCCTAAACATCCAGCATCTATAACCTTTATACAATTTTTTCTCCTTCCTATCAAGACATTGTTCTGCTTACGACGTAAATCAATATTTCCAAGGAGAAATACAGTTAGGCACAGAAGCAAGTCTGCTCTTTATTCACTGGCCGCTCAAGACACAGATAAATTATCTGGGACCAGCCAGCGCAGTTTAAGGCCAAGTATATTTCTCCTAAGGTTTTCAGAGATGTCAGAAATCTGACTAGTGCAGCTTGGAGACGGAGGAAATGCAGCCAATTAGACCTTTGAAACATAAATCACATTTTACTGCTCTGTCACATCAAGTGGCCACTATTCAGTTTCCAGTCACTGAGAAGAAGAATATCAGCCATTAACAGCAGGCGCAAAATAGGCTGGATAATGCACAGTATACTGTAGGCAGCCTCTCATGATTTAGTTCATGACATCACTTTTCACCACGAGGGAGGAGAAATGTGAAGCATGAACATGATATTTGGTTGAAAACACACTCTACAGAGTTTATCTTCCACTGACTAATAATATTTTCCAAAAGGGCAGAATATGCAGTTTGAAGTTATAGTTTGACATTATGGGAGATATGCTTAGTCTGTATGGTAAATGTGACGCTACAGGCAGCAGGCAATTAGCTTAGAGTAGCTTTGTGTTGCTTTAATGGTTTCTGTGCGCTGTAGTTTTAGAGGTGCTAGTATATTATTTGTTTCAGATCCAGGCTAACTGTTTCCTGTTACTTCCTGTCTTTGTGCTAAGCTAAGCTAACTGTCTGCTGGCTTTAGCTTCATACAGTGTTTTACAGACAGACCATCCTCTGACGGTACAGAAGGAGTTGGAGAGGTGCTACCAAATAGCCAAAGGGAGCTGAAGAGAGCACTGATTAATCACATATTAATTCCCATCTGTATGGGTGGTTAGCCTCATATTTAACATACAGACATAAGACCTTCTCATTTAACTCTCACCAAGAAAACGAACAAGAACATTTCTCAAAATGGTAATTCCATGCAAATACAGAACATTCACTTTGTCGTCGTCGTCGTTGTCTCCCGCTCATCCGGATCCAGGTCGCGGGGGCAGCAGCCTCAGCAAAGAGGTCCAGACAGCCCTCTCCCCAGCCACTTCCACCAGCTCTTCAGGGAGAATCCCGAGGCGTTCCAAGGCCAGCCAAGAGATATAATCCCTCCAGCGTGTCCTTGGTCGGCCCCGAGGCCTCCTCCCGGTGGGACATGCCCGAAACACCTCCCCAGGGAGGCGTCCGGGAGGCATCCTCACCAGATGCCCGAACCACCTCAGCTGGCTCCTCTCGACATGGAGGAGCAGCGGCTCTACTCCGAGTCCCTCCCGGATGACCGAGCTCCTCACCCTATCTCTAAGGCTGAGCCCGGCCACCCTGCGGAGGAAACTCATTTCGGCCGCTTGTATTCGCGATCTCGTTCTTTCGGTCATTACCCAAAGCTCATGACCATAGGTGAGGGTTGGAACGTAGATCGACCGGTAAATCGAGAGCTTCGCCTTCCGGCTTAGCTCCCTCTTCCCCACAACGGACCAATTCAGCGCCTGCATCACTGCTGACGCCGCCCCAATCTGCCTGTTGATCTCCCGTTCCATCCTACCCTCACTCGTGAACAGGATCCTGAGATACTTACACTCCTCCACCTGAGGCAGGACCTCCCCCCCGACCCGGAGCGGGCAATCCACCCGTTTCTGACTGAGAACCGTGGCCTCAGACTTGGAGGAGCTGATCTTCATTCCAGCCGCTTCACACTCGGCTGCGAACTGCCCAAGTGAGAGCTGAAGGTCAGTGCTCGATGAAGATAAGAGGACCGCATCATCCGCAAAAAACACAACGAGATCCTCCCGCCACCGAACCCAAACCCCTCCATCACCCGGCTGCGCCTAGAAATTCTGTCCATAAAAGTTATGAACAGAACCGGTGACAAAGGGCAGCCCTGACGGAGTCCAACCCTCACCGGGAACAGGTCCGACTTACTGCCGGCTACGCGAACCAGACTCACACTCCTTTGGTACAGGGACTTAATGGCCGCTAACAAGGGGCCATCCACCCCATACTCCCAAAGCACTCCCCACAGGGAGCCCCTGGGGACACGGTCGTAAGCCTTCTCCAAATCCACAAAACACATGTGGACTGGATTGGCAAACTCCCATGCTCCCTCCAGCACCCTAGCGAGGGTAAAGAGCTGGTCCACAGTTCCACGTCCAGGACGAAAACAACATTGCTCCTCCTCAATCTGAGGTTCGACTACTGACCGGACCCTCTTTTCCAGTGCCCTGGCATAGACCTTACCAGGGAGGCTGAGGAGTGTAATTCCCTGGTAGTTGTAACATACCCTCTGGTCACCCCTCTTAAAGATGGGGACCA